CTGGCACTGGCTAGCATAGCTTTAGCTCCGCAGGACTCATAAAATCCCGGGGTCTACTTTTACTGGCCACCACTCACTGTATATATTGGTGTATAAATAGTTATTGTACAGAGGAGGGGTATATTCTCGTAGCTTTGGGAGCTGCATGCTGCACCTTGAAGGCTTGATCCTTGAGGGAAGTGGTATTCCTTCGGTTGTGAAAATGCCAGTCTCACAGACTCTGACGTGAGCTATGACCATTTTATTTCTAATCTTTGCCATTGGCACAGGGCGTCACCTAGTACTGCACGTGTAGTGTGCCTGGTGGATGCCCACTGCATGCATGCATGTAGACATGCACTTTACACTTCACATATGTATATTGTGTTCAGTGTGCAGTGTGTGTAGACCACTAGCAGACCCTGACCGATCTTTTGCATCGTTTGCCGCGGTGCAAGCATACTGGAAAGCCGTTGGTCTTAGGTATTGGGGAGCGTACCGGAGGCAGCCAGCCGCAGCAGAAGTTTGTTATTATACTACAGCATAGCCAAGTTTTCTTTCCAGCACTGCTTCCCACGTCCCTCCTCTCTCCCACGTCCCTCCTCTCTCCCACGTCCCTCCTCTCTCCCACGTCCCTCCTCTCTCCCACGTCCCTCCTCTCTCCCACGTCCCTCCTCTCTCCCACGTCCCTCCTCTCTCCCACGTCCCTCCTCTCTCCCACGTCCCTCCTCTCTCCCACGTCCCTCCTCTCTCCCACGTCCCTCCTCTCTCCCACGTCCCTCCTCTCTCCCACGTCCCTCCTCTCTCCCACGTCCCTCCTCTCTCCCACGAGTCCAGTAGGAATACTGTAGGTTTGATCCCTGCGTGTTGTGACATGCTAGTCATCATCAGCACTGCCGGAAACAGTTTTTGATTGGTCCGCTGGTATCATGGCCTGTCATACATGTACTTGGTGTATAGTATGGTGGTGGGTACTGTATGGTGGTGGGTACTGTATGGTGGTGGGTACTGTATGGTGGTGGGTACTGTATGGTGGTGGGTACTGTATGGTGGTGGGTACTGTATGGTGGTGGGTACTGTATGGTGGTGGGTACTGTATGGTGGTGGGTACTGTATGATGGCGGGTACTGTATGGTGGTGGGTACTGCACATGCCCCCCCCCCCCCACAGTAGTAAACACGTGTTGGTGGCCGAAAAGTCGGTCCGGTGATAACCTGACTGACCGGACCGACTCCCACGGGCCTGATCATGTCATTGTGTACTTGTTTGCATGCATGCAGATGATTTACAATCAGCACGGGGTGATGAGTGTGCTGAGAGCAGCTCCGATGCACGTGCAGCAGCAGCAGCAGGACCTGCAGCAGCTACGTCATCAACTGGTAATGCAGTTTCATTGTCGACTGCCGATCGTCGCCATCGTCTACACCAGGTACTGCGGCAGCGGCCTACTTGCCATGTTCTCTGGAGTATACACCGCACTTTTTAAACACCGGCAATCCACCCAAAAAGGTGGTGTGGCTTAAGTTATACTCCGATGATCAAATTAATGGTGATAAATAGGGTAGATGTCTGTATTTCATGGCAAAAAGGGGGGGGGGCTTATACTCTGGAAAATACGATACATGTAGCTACAGCAGGCACTGTAGCCTACTTCCTACTTACATGTAGGCATGTGCACTGACACACACGTAGGCAGAACAGGTGCTAACAGCTATGCATTGGTGTTTTCTTATTTTTAAAGATCTCACTGCGACTGCACTTCCTTCCAGGGTGATTTCCCCAAGCAAAGCAGCACTCTGTCCTCCAGTTCCTCACTCCAGTTCCGCTGATAGAGTAACCGTTTAGACATGGATATAGTGTTACAGTGTTACAGTACCCCTGTCAGTGCTGTTATCTTTGAGTAAGCTTACTGGCAGTAGCACTTGCTTGTCAGCTTCTCACACTGTACACACTTGGAAAACTTACCAATCTATAGAGAAAGTTGCACCGTCGTCTTGTGCTTTTGTCCCTGTTTTCTAATAATTATAAGACACTTCCAATTGGGACGGCATGTTCCGATTGGGAGGGCATGTTCCGATTGGGTGGCTCAGGGCATGTGTCTAGAAATGAAAGGAGTGCATCATACTACACCAGGTTCTGATGTCAACATCACGGTACGCAGTACAAGAAGCAGGTAGCATGTACTTCATTCTCACTTTACGCGGCATTCAATGCATAATACTCGGTACTCGCATACACTAACATGCACGTGTGTGCAAGGGAAAATACCCCTGGGAAAGGACCGGAAGCAGAGAGTTGTTGATTGTAAGCCCGTGTTGTGATGTGCGTGAGATTACGGTATTTTAAGCGTACATCTACGTCCATATCTCTTCTATTACATGTATCCGTGCGGTCCGGGACCGGGCACTGCCCATAACTTTGATATGTCCGTAACTGTGAATCACATACAAATCAATGGGGAGCACCCAAAGATCTGGCGTATGACATCACTAGGTGCCCGTAACTTCGACGTCCTGATCAGAGAGATACGAGTGTACTGCGTTTCGTATCAGTGCATTGTATCATCATGATAATAGTTATTGTATGCTGTCATTTCTCTTCCTGCTGCAGCGCCTCCGCAGCTACCGCAGTTCCAACACCCAGCAAACGGATGTCACGACCTGCGTCACGACTCTGCTGAATGAGTTCTGCGATTATTTCAGGTGAGGTGATTTTAGATTGCGACTGCACAACGCACTGTACTTATTAAGACCTGCTATGCGGGATGCTTTGTTATCGACCACACCGCCCACAGGAAACAGAACATAAGTAATTTTCTAATGGAGGTTGCAAATCAATCACTTGTGCACTGACTGGCAGTGAGTGTACACAGGGTTGGTGTAGTACACTCAAACGTCTCTTATCCGGACGCCTCAGATACGGGCATGTCTCTCTACCGGGCACCTTCAGTTTGAGTTCCTGCGGCAAAAATTCATCGAATTTGGAGGGTTTGAACTTTTTTCGTATGCGCAACTGCTTATTTGTCACTGCCAACCTGTGTAGTCCACACATTTTTATCAATAGATCCTTTTTGTAACCTGAACATGTGCAATACGTGCCGAATAAACTTCTTCAAAAAATGATATGATACATGGCAGATGAGTTATCCCGAGATACGGGCAAACTTGAGATACGGGCAGTGCCCGGATAAGAGACGTCCGAGTGTAATGGTATTTTAATGTTATTGGCTGAAGCACAGGCTGCTGCTGCTGCTGCTGCTGCTGCTGCTGCTGCTGCTACATGTGGAGTGAAAATTCATTTTGTAGAAATGATCATGTTTGCAGCAAAACAAGTTCAATCATAAATCATCAGCATGCATCAAACAAGTACATAATGACATGTACAATATTTATACGGGAACCTATTCCTAATTTAGTTTTGGGGAGAACAAACCTAAAGGTACATTTCAGGTAGGACTTCAACATTGAACATACACAGCGCTCCACATCATTGTCAATCACTGACAGGCGAATATACACAGCGCTCCACATTATTGTCAATCACTCACAGACGAACATACGCAGCGCTCCACATCATTGTCAATCACTCACAGACGAACATACACACGCTCCACATCATTGTCAATCACTCACAGACACTTGTATGACTGTCAAGTAAATACAATCATGTACTCAAGTAACTAACGTGCAAGTAAGAGTCCTCTGGCTCTGGCTCGGGAGAGCGCTCACTGTTCATGCGAACAGAGCTATCCTGCACACAAGTCACAGAGCACCACACAGAGCACCACACAGAGCACCACGCAGAGCACCACGCAGAGCACCACGCATCTTTGTTGTAACTAACAGTTTCATGCCCTTGGGCAATCATCAGACAACTGATCTCTAACTTCAGTGTGAATGTCACCTTCCACGGACAATTTCACAACACCATACACCACAATACCACTGCGGACGGGGTCCATTATGCCACCCATTGTGGCACCCGTTGTGCCAACTAGCACCAGAGACACACGATAATCTACAACTTACAGCACCAAGACGAGGCACCCTGAACTGAGACTGCAGAAACATCAAGAGCGAAAACGTTTGGAATGCCGGTTACGTCGAGTAACCTCAACAGGAATTCGGGAAGTTCAGGTCAAGTTATTTGAGAAGTGGCGTGATCTCTGCTCTGTAATGATGGTTTGTGCATGCCAAGCTGTCTTTTTTTCTCATGCAGGCCCCATGCTCTCTCATTAACCTACCCTGTCTTCATAGGTATGCATGTATTTGCATACCTTACTGATCTGTGTGCTTGTGCATGTGCATGTGTGCATGCGTGCGTGTATGCGTGTGTGTGTGTGTGTGTGTGTGTGTGTGTGTATGTGTGTGTGTGCGTATGCACGTGCGTACGTGTGTGTGTGTGTGCGTGCGTGCGTGCGTGTGTGTGTTTGCTCAGGCATGCTGTGCGACCACCATCTTTGCTGCCGCTCTCAGAATTGTTTTACTGCGGTGCTCCATCAGCACGCATCCTCCAACAGGTACTTGTGTGTGTGTGTGTATATGTGCATCTTTATGGGACCACAATCGTCATTATACACAAGCTAGGCATGTCACACATGGGACCACGGTCATCATTATGTAATACTTACGATCTTCGTGTGATCATTATCGTGAATAGCATCAGCCACAGTGACAAGTACTCAAGTACTCAAGTAGCAGTAATCCAGCCTGGCCTGGCATGTTCTGCACACTGTTCTCTTCCAGACCACACTGGCATCACCTCGCTTGAGTGTCCAGCAGGCCCTTCTCAATCCACAGCCTATTCTGCAGGTAAGGAATATCTCCCGCTGTTGTCTTTTAAAAATCCCAGGAGCGTATCATATACTTGCGTGCGTGCGTGTGTGAGTAGTAACAGTTCACCTATTTCAGTGGCTATCTGGCTGCTTTAAGGCTGCGTTCGTTTTAGCTACCTGGTAGAGTAGAGTCACTCTACCGATAGAGGTAGATGGTAGAGGTAAGTGCACGAACGCTGTTCTACCGGATTTAGTAGTGTTTCACCATATGTACGTGAACAGTTTTTCTTCTGTATGGAGTTTTGTACAACTCCTTGATTTTGCTGGAAATACCGTAGCTCTACCAACTTCTACCGGCTTCTACCAACTTTTGCCTGGTATAGCCGTAGAGGAAAGTAGAATCTACCCTTTCGAGAAGGAAAAGCGAACACCTCTACCGAAAGAAATAGTTTCTACCAAAACCTGTAAATCAAAAAAGAACGCGCTCTAAATGATCAGTTGATCAAGGTAGTATAGTAGTAGCTCGGGCCTATATCGCGAAAAATATCGGAGGTCAAAAACCACTTTTAGTCCGATTTTGTTCGAATTTTCAGGGTTGAAGCATCATGAGGGCAAGCTGTTATTAATCCCAAAATGTTGCTAGAGTGTAATGAATCCTTCCCTTTATTTGGGGCCTGTGAAAACCACACCCATACGTTCGCATTTATGTCGCGAAATAGGAGAAAAACCTGCTTTTACAAACAGGAGTTCGCTTTTCATTTGTTTTTATTAGGCAGGCTTGTGCTAAACTATGATATATTGCATTTCAATTCTTTTCCTAGAATTCAGGACCACTATAATCACACACTGTTGAGGCAAATCCACACTGGAATCAAAATTGATATGGGAGACTATCATTTCTTCGCATATTTCTGTAAACAGTGGGTAAATGAGTCCCCGGTTGTTGTTGTTGTTGTTGTTGTTGTTGTTGTTGTTGCTGCTGCTGCTGCTGCTGCTGTTGTTGTTGTGGTTGTTTCAAATCTTTATTCTCACGATAGCCAGTGGCCAATAAGAGATAATAGTGTAAGAAAGGAGAAAGAGTGAGGAAGAATAGATGACTTGCACAAAGATCCGAGCCGCGAGTGAGACGGGGCAAGTGCACCCTGTGCACCCAGGCTACACTGCGGGCACCCTACGTAGCTACACCGTCTGTAGACTAGTGTAGTGTACTTTTTTTGTCAGCATGAATGAACGGTGCACGACATGTACATGTACATGATCAGTACCGTCACTGTCTTCAGCAGCTCATGAGTCATGCATGTGCACTTGTAGGGTTAGTGGAAGCAGGTATTGTACTACTCCCTGAGTGGAAGTACATGACTGTATTATTATGTGAAGAGAAGCCAGGCGTCCAAACCAACCCAAAATACTCTTGCCTTATTCTTTGGTGAAATAGTTATAAAAAATTGTCTTACTAAACAACAGTGAGCATAGAAGCAACCTCGATGCACCCAATAATATGGCATCCGGGAACAGCAAGTGTTGCACGAGGATCCCAAGAACACGTCAAGTTCCATGCTACCCGCCGCCATCAAAAGAACGAAGGATAACTGTGCTAGCCTAGTTCATATTCAATGTAACGCTAACGGTACGGGTTATAGGAGCCTGTTGGGAAGGCGTGGGTGAGCTGTAAAATCTTGTACGGTTCGCACAGCACAACATACATGCAGCAGTTATTGCGACGGTTAACGTCGATGGACGAGAGTCATAAAGCACAGTCCATGGGGGTTGACGTTTCTGGGCTTCCTTTCCGAAAGGAAAGTTTTATTTCTTCTCAAAAAAGCAGAATCATGCTGATTATACCAGTCTGTTATGAAGACAAGGAAGCAGCCATGGACATTGTGCCATACTAAAGGAACGACAGGTAAAAGATAAAGCACTTCATCTGAAAACTCAAGGACTATCCATAAATACAGCAAATGATTATCCTAGCCTGGTAATGTCCAACTCCGTCATGTGAGCCATTCGGTGAGTTATCATGGGAAGCATAATGTTCGAAATGCTGAAATTTGAACAGTTGCAGTTGTGTTCGTCGCCACATAATGCCATCGCCAGTTCACATTTGAAATGTAGCTATTTTTACGTTTGTGTCCCTGTACACGGCATGGAAGGCTGAGCAGATTCAACTCTTCCATCGCTTCCTGATCCGTACAGTAGTGCGGTTGCGTTCCCGTTCCTGACACATCGGTCTTCGCTAACCAGCATCATGAGCACTCCAATGGTTCCCGCCGCTCCTTCCGTATCGTCCCAGCGCGCCCCGTCAAAATGTGAATTACTGTAGGCAACGGAGCCAGTGTATGATGAAGGCAAATGCACTGTTTGATGATGCTCCAACAAATCCTTTCTGAGACTGAGACCCAGCCGGAGCCGCATCGTCGTCATTACCAGCTAATCATGGGGAGGTATAATGTGACTTTCCACCACTCCCTGATTCAATCATAGTTTGCGAGCTTGCGCCAAACTGCTTTCTCACTAGTGCCAGGCATTGGATACATATGGCTTCAGTAAGGTTAACAATGCTATGTCTCTGGCCTAAGTCCAAGTCTAGATACAGCTGCTCAGAGTCAGGGCTGATGAAGTGTTCATATCGGAACAAGTGAGACTTCAACAGTAGCTAGTACACATCAGGCCTGAAGACTTCGCAGCGTTTCTCCAGCACACTTGTTCTCTCCTTCAACTCAGATACTACTTGAAGTACTACTAAAGGCCATCTGGCTCTCACACTCAGTCCTTCCACCCCTCATTTTCGTGGTTCGGGCTTCCACTCTTGACTCGGCAGGTTCCTGGCCTCTCCGCAGTCTGTCCTCAGGAGAGGGTCGCTCTGGAGCTAGTGCAGCCGAATCGAAGGGAATCGAGTTCTTTCTCAGACGTCCACAAACTTTCGTTGTGCTTGACTTCGCTTCCACTGCGGGAAAGTTGTCACACTTCAGGACCACGACGTGCTTGTTGCAGCCTACACCAATGATACTAAAATAATATTCCCTCATTTTTTCTGCCTCCCGGCCGGCCGGCTCGGAAAGGAACGTATGGAATGGGAGCCTCAGTTCCATCTCTCGTCTGCTAGTGCATTCAGGAGCGTAGCAGCGCTTCGGCATGACGATACAAGCCGAATCAAAACAACTCTACTCTCTAGCCAAAAAAAATAGCTCAGTGTTCGTCAGGCAAAAAGCGAAACTTCGAAAGTCACGAACTCAAAAGGTGGGGAAGTCAGAGTCAGAAGTACAGTCCAGAAGGTCCACTTGCCCCGTCTCGAACCCAGACAATCTTTGTGCAAGTCATCTATTGGGTGGGCAGAGCCTAGAGATTAATGACTACTTACCGTATTTTCCGGGGTATAAGCCGCACTTTTTTTCGCTAAAAATCGGACCAAAATCGCCCCTGCGGCTTATACACCGAATATGCTTGCGCGACTGAATGCTTAGCATACATCAGTATGCATGCTGACATCATGTGACATGTCATTCGACTCAGCTTCGCGCCTGTGTTGCTATCAACATCAGTGGCAGCGAGACTGAAGATAGTGCAGATGACATGGAGTGATCTGTAGTCAACACAGCAATACACCAACAACTCTGCAGCAACCTGTGGTGCACTAACACTTCATAATCTGATCTAACATGGTATTTAGCTCCATAACCATAATAAATTTGTAGAAAGGCCATTTGTCAATGAGTGTGAAAAATCTTGGTTTGTGGGTGCGGCTTATACTCTGAATACCAACTTTTAGTCAATATTTTGCCTCAAAAAGGGGGGTGCGGCTTATACCCCGGAAAATACGGTAAGTGTACGGGCAGGGGTGGTCGCTACACGAGCATACAGAGTTGTGCAACAGCAGGGATATCTGGGATTTGAAGAGTGTGCGAGAAGGGATTTCGCGAAGCTGGGTGGGCAAGCAATTAAAGTAATGAAGGGCCGTTATTGTTGTTGTTGTTGTTGTTGTTGTTGTTGTTGTTGTTGTTGTTGTTGTTGTTGTTGTTGTTGTTGTTGTTGTTGTTGTTGTTGTTGTTGTTGTTGTTGTTGTTGTTGTTGTTGTTGTTGTTGTTGTGGTTGTTGTTGTTGTTGTGGTTGTCCTCTTCCTTATCATTGTTCTTGCTGTTCCAGTGCACCTGTTGCGAGGCATCAGCACAGGCACCATCTGCTAGCATGCCACCATTGTCTGTTGCTTATTGGATTTGTACCGAATGTCCACGGAATATAAACCTTCATGATTGGCTGATGGTACGTAATCTTGATTGTGTTGGTGCGCACTAGTATTGGCACGTTGCTGCTGCTGCTACTGCTGCTGCTGCTGCTGCCACAGTCTCTGCTGCTGCTGCTGCTGCTACTGCCACTGTCTCTGCTGCTGCCGCTGCTACTGCCACTGTCTCTGTTGCTGCCGCTGCTGCTGCTGCCACTGTCTCTGCTGCTGCCGCTGCTGCTGCTGCTGCCGTCTCTGCTGCTGCCACCGTCTCTGTTGCTGCTGCCGCTGCTGCTGCTGCCACTGTCTCTGCTGCTGCCACCGTCTCTGCTGCTGCTGGCGCTGTCTCTGCTGCTGCCGCTGTCTCAGCTGCTGCCGCTGTCTCTGCTGCTGCCACCGTCTCTGCTGCTGCTGCTGCTGCTGCCGGCGGTGCTGCTAGCACTATTGTTCTTTTTCTGTTCTACTCTTAGAAATCACTTTCCACTGTATTTTGCTGTGTACAATTCAGTCGTTCTTATCAATTGTGAAGACTGATGCTGGTGGTAGCCAAGGCAAGGACTCAATCGGTGCAAAGAAGAAGAAAAAGAAAGCAGGAGCAGCTTCAGCTACTTCTGCCGTGTCTGTTGCTGCCGTTGATGACAAAGTGTGGCAGTATCCTTTAAAACAGCCATATTGTGTGTGCGCATGCGTACCTGTACATGTAACTTTATATGCATTTGCTCTCATGTGCGTGCATGAGGGGGGGGGGGTACACATTCTTACTTGGGCGTGCATGTATGCATATCGTGTATAGACGTATGTGTGAGCTGCGTGTATAGACACGTGTGTGTGTGTGTGAGCTGCGTGTATAGACGTGTGTGTGTGTGTGTGAGCTGCGTGTATAGACGCGTGTGTGTGTGCGTGTGTGTGTGTGTGTGTGTGTGTGTGAGCTGCGTGTATCTGTCTGTTAAGCTACTTTACTACTTCCTGGAAGAGTACATGAGAACAAGACGTGTACAGTTTTCTGCATGGGTGCCACTGTCTGTTATGGCAAACTCTCAGATTGCATGTACGTCACAGTTGCACATATAAGCAGCAGAAGTGGCATAGTGCGTACAGCTATTCTCGCTAAGTCCAGGATGCAGTTATGTGGCATGTGCGAGACCTGCTTGAATTCTGGCGCTATATGTGCACTACACACTTCATGTAATATGTTTAAATCTGGCTATGACAGCAATCCATTGGATCTGTACACTCGCTTTCCTGCACTCTTGCTAATGTGTATATGCTTTAGATTATTTTTTCATTGCCATCAGCCTCAGCTTCAGACTGGTTTTCTCTGTGCTGCGCCGATGAATCCACAAAGGACGGAACAGTTCTGTGCGCAGATGGAGTCTGCTTTAGGGGTCGTCGCAAAAGTTTGTTGTCGTCCCTGAAACGAACACCGTTCCTTTCGTACCTGGACCCCCTCCCCTCCTCTGAAACGAATGCAGCTTGCTATGCTGCAGCTTGCTATGCTGCAGCTTGCTATGCTGGACGACGAAAGTCGCATGTACATGTCATATGTAAAGTGTCGGTCGACTTGCGATGTTGGTTCGCACCCCCTTCCCCCCCCCCCCCCTCCCCCAACAAATGATGTTCGTTTCAGGGAAGACAAAAACGTTTGTGACGACCTTTACTAAGCTTTAGTTTCTGCTGCTTGTCAGGCTGGGTCTTTGGCCGAACATTTATGCGAAATTATCGGCGGCCCAAAGACCCCTTGCATTTGTGATGGTGCAGGGTTTGCCATGTTATAAAATCTTCGCATTTGATTAATTCACCAAATTCCGGGAGGCGCCCGGGGCGAAAAGTGGTAAGATTAGTACTCTCGGTAGTGTCCACAGTGTGTGGGAAGCCCCATGCACACAGGCACGCACTCACACCTGCCCACATTCACACGTTTACACATGCATGCACACACAGACACACACGCATACATACAGACAGACAGACACACACACACACACACACACACACACACACACACACACACACACACACACACACACATGTACACATACACACGTATGCATGCACACACACAGACACACACACGCACGCTGTAGCTGTACGTATACGTGTACTAGTAATTGAGTGCACTGCGCTTTCCTTGTGTCCTTGTGTAATTGAGTGCACTGCGCTTTCCTTGACCTGAGAATAATCAGATCGGCATTCATCCAATCCGTCTCAGAACTTCAGCTGCTTGGCTTCATCAAGTCTACACGGCAGAAGACAGATCATGTGCGTCGCTTGGTTTGGGGACGTTGCTAGTTGGCCTTGGTGCCGGCCAAGTGAGTGTCCATTGATGTGGCGCCCCTGCTGTCACCCTGAGTCTAATAAAACAATATTCCTTATTCTAATGCTGATGTCACCTACCCTCTCTATCTCTCTGTCTCTCTCTCTCTCTCTCTGTCTCTGTCTCTCTCTGTCTCTCTGTCTCTGTCTCTCTGGCTCTGTCTCTCTGGCTCTCTCTCTCTCTCTCTCTCTCTCTCTCTCTCTCTCTCTCTCTCTCTCTCTCTCTCTCTCTCTCTCTCTCTCTCTCTCTCTCTCTCTCTCTCTCTCTCTCTCTCTGTCTCACTCTCTCTCTGTCTCTCTGTCTCTGTCTCTCTGTCTCTCTGTCTCTCTCTGTCTGTCTCTCTCTCTCTCTCTCTCTCTCTCTCTCTCTCTCTCTCTCTCTCTCTCTCTCTCTCTCTCTCTCTCTCTCTCTCTCTCTCTCTCTCTCTCTCTGTCTCTCTGTCTCTCTCTCTTTCTCTCTCTCTCTCTCTCTCTCTCTCTCTCTCTCTCTCTCTCTCTCTCTCTCTCTCTCTCTCTCTCTCTCTCTCTCTCTCTCTCTCTCTCTCTGTCTCTCTCTCTCTCTGTCTCTCTCTCTGTCTGTCTCTCTCTCTCTCTCTCGCTTTCTTTTTTTAAACTTTATTAGAGCCTCGCTTGGACCATTTAAAAGTTTGTAGCTGGACATATCCTGTTGCTTCTGCTGCTGCTTTTAGAAAGTTCAGTTATAGAAACCAGTTCAAACCAGCTTTCCCGGTACTATATCTGATCACAGGACCGTACTGATTGTGAGGCTTTGTTGGATTCTCGAGTTTCACTACCATTGAGTTGAATCATGCAAAGTGAATCCACGGCATAGTACCGCATTTTTTGGAGTATAGTGCGCACCTTTGTATAACGCGCACCCCCAATCTTCATTGGGGGTGCGCACTTTAATCTTTATTGAAGTACATGCATTTCATATTCGGAGCATAGTGCGCACCTGCGATTTAGGGCCTAAAATAGCACATCTAAAGTGCGCACTATACTCCGGAAAATATGGTACAATCGTGTAGTCATGCTTGCTTGTGTGCCCGCACTGGGCAGGTACGGAACGCATTGATAGGTGCCCAGTCACTCTGTGTTCATGCCTGCACACTGATACACATGCCATGTTTACCCAGTCACTCTGTGTTCATGCCTGCACACTGATACACATGCCCCCGTGTTTACAGATTCCAGTCAGCAAACAAAGGTACCTACTACCTAGTCAAGCTGCGTGCTATAGTGTTCACCTGGCACCATGTGCTTGCTGTCTGGCTTTCTAGAACAGGTGCAGCCCAGTCATGGTGTGTACTTGCCTAACAGTTATGCGGCTGCACTGTCTCCACTGTGGGCTGCCGGTGTCAAGATCCAAGTCTTTCCACATGCACAGCAAGACATGTCTACTCACTCAAGGCAGTGCTGTTCCTCTGCAGTGTTAGTGTCCACCACCAGCTTGGTACCAGTATAAGATCTAGGGCAGGAATGGTTCATCCATTCGGTGCTTTTATAAAAGTGTTATTATCACTTAGAAAAGTGAAAGGCTACAGGTGCAAGCTTTCAGGAATCCGTCTGTTATGTTCACCCCTGGGCCCCGTCACACGGCACGTTGGCACTAGCCAATGTACTCAGGCGACATTGTTCTGTTTGGCGACCGGGGGTTAGAGAATCGGGCTTCTGTGTCGTTTTCTTGGTTGGTTTGTAACTGCTGGATATCATGTTCTTGGTTGGTTTGTAAGCTGTAAGATATCATGGATCACACTTATACTTCAAGTATGCAAGTTTTGTTCACCAACGACTATTACACACACACACACACACACACACACACACACACACACACACACACACACACACACACACACACACACACACACACACACACACACACACACACACACACACACAAACACACGCACGCACACACACAAACACACGCACGCACACACGCATGCACGCAAGCACGCACGTACACACACACACACACACACGCACACACTGCACACAGCCCAACAGTAGATATACTGCAGCAAATAAACGCGCAAAGTAGCATGAACGCACAAAGCAGCATGAACGCGCAAAGCAGCATGAACGCGCAAAGCAGCATGAACGAAATCGTAGTGCTGTGCTGGCCAGGAATACGCTAGGGACTAACACAGCCGAAGCATAAAATAATGATGTCACTTGTTGCTGTCGTGGCAGGATTAGGGCATTGGTCTTTATAGGCTAGTTTCCACTGTACTCACACATCTGACAGAATTGTTACTCTGGCACTCTTCCTGAGCGACTTCTTGCGCCGTTTGTCTCTCACGTGTATCTCTTTGGCCTCGTCCGGTTACCTTGTCAGTGTTCTCTTCTTCATCGCTTGTGTCTCCATCGGGCTGGTCTTCATCGCTCGTGTCTCCACTAGGCTCTTCTTCATCGCTCGTGTCCCCGGTGGGCTCATCAAACGTCTCCCTCCACATTTCTCCTTTCTCCCAGTACCGATGTACCTGGTGTGACACAATGGTACTGTTGGCGTGCAAGAACCGCTTGCCTACGCACTGGCGTCGCTTCAGCTGTTTCACCCTGGCCGCAATCTCCTCCACGGGGTGTTGGGTTGTTTTGCAGAACGTCGCAAAGCACTCGCAGTTCCAACTCTCCAGGTCGTAATCGCCGAACGACCGCTTACAGCGCTGCTTCTCGTCCACTGACTCATCAGGCAAGAAGAGCTTGGCTATGTCGGCAGCGCGCTCATTATTGTGACTGTCATGCGGAGATGACCCTTGCAGATAGTGCACTTCCTCACTGCTCTCACCATAGGCATACACATACACTTCGTCCGTATGATTTTTGGTTTTGAGCACAAACTTGGATATGTCGTCTTCTTTCTGCGTTGCGGGGAACAAGGTGTTGGTGAGTTTTTTCCCGCTGCTCATCAAGAGTCCTCTGAATATCCTGTGCGACGGTGGAAAAGATCAAGACATACAGGCAGCGTGAGTTTGTTTGCGTGTCCGTAACTTGATGTGCACTGAAGGAGTCATAACATCTAGGTAGATGACACCAGACCACAGCAACAGGCTGGGAACATCTACTTGGTCTGTGGTCTATGCAGCCGGGTGCGATCGCGGCCGTGACTGCAGCACAAGAGCAACTGGAACGAGCATTCATGCAGGACGGGAGCGAAACCCACGACACCGTGTCGCACTCCGCTCACCAGTGCCGTCTTCCGAAACGCTTACAACTCCCTCAGGATGCACATACAATCCTGGTACAGTCAGTAATCTTATTGCATAGTGTGTACAGTACCTAGCTGAAAGACTTTAAGTGCATCTAACACCTATACAGCCGGGCGCGATCACCTACAGCACAAGGGCAACTGGAATGAGCATGCATGCGGGACGGGAGCGACGGGACGGGAGCCCTGTAGGCCACGCACAGATCTATACCGGGTCATTTTTCTTCTCCTCACCTTGACATCTTTCCTGTGGCCGGCCGAGTTGGCGTTGTCATAGCAACAGGCGAGGCTGTCTTCTCCGATGCTGCTTCGGCGGTGCTGTCAGGAGGTGGGGTATCAGTGCTGTCAGGAGGTGGGATGTCAGTAGAGCCAGGAGGTGGGATGTCAGTAGAGCCAGGATGTGGGATGTCAGTGCAGCATTTCCCCGTAGTACTGTCGTTTCTAGTGTGCCCAGTGTCCACAGTGCTGCTGGCCACGTTGCAGATTCTGCGGAAACGTAACATGGACAGGTGGTAGTAGAGGGAGGCTACTGTGACACATGACCATGCAGCTAACAGTTACGAATGCCGAAAATATCGCATTTGCGCGTCAGACTCGGCTGAAGGCCGAGTTTTCCGCATCCGTAGAAACACCACCACCTTCTACCACCACCCCCAGGGATCAAGGCAGGAACACCACCACCCCCAGGGATCAAGGCAGGAACACCACCACCCCCAGGGATCAAGGCAGGAACACCACCACCCCCAGGGATCAAGGCAGGAACACCACCACCCCCAGGGACCAAGGTAGGAACACCACCACCCCCAGGGATCAAGGCAGGAACACCACCACCCCCAGGGATCAAGGCAGGAACACCACCACCCCCAGGGATCAAGGCAGGAACACCACCACCCCCAGGGATCAAGGCAGGAACACCACCACCCCCAGGGATCAAGGCAGGAACACCACCACCCCCAGGGACCAAGGTAGGAACACCACCACCCCCAGGGATCAAGGCAGGAACACCACCACCCCCAGGGACCAAGGTAGGAACACCACCACCCCCAGGGATCAAGGCACGAGTAGGAACACCACCACCCCCAGGGATCAAGGCAGAAACACCACCACCCCCAGGGACCAAGGTAGAAACACCACCACCCCCAGGGATCAAGGTAGAAACACCACCACCCCCAGGGACCAAGGTAGAAACACCACCACCCCCAGGGATCAAGGCACGAGTAGGAACACCACCACCCCCAGGGACCAAGGTAGGAACACCACCACCCCCAGGGATCAAGGCAGAAACACCACCACCCCCAGGGATCAAGGTAGAAACACCACCACCCCCAGGGATCAAGGCAGAAACACCACCACCCCCAGGGATCAAGGTAGAAACACCACCACCCCCAGGGATCAAGGCACGAGTGCTAACAGCAAGTAAGTTAAATGTGCGTACTGCACATACGTTCCTTATCTGGACAGTAGCCTATTGCACATGCACTGACACTTCAAAGTCTCTAGGTTACTCATTGATTTCGTGTTGCAGTAGTGCTGCAGCCAGTAGGCATATGAACTTAGTAGCACTCGGCCATGCAATCTTCCTTTCCGGCCTGGTCGTAAATCTCCGGGCAGCTAGCTGTTTCAATGAGGATAATATTGATTACACGCATGCACGTGGGAGCACACACACAAACACATCCCCGTGTATGATTCCTACTGACATAAGCTCAAAAACATTTACTGCCACATGAACCATCATGGAGTCGTACTGTCTGACGACAGTATGATAATTATCAACCTCACACAAAGGGGCATACATTTGCACCACACTGTGATCATGTCGAGATGTTACCTTTGACTCCCATCTGGTATCTGTCTTGGTGTCCTAGGGCAGGCCTCCGGTTTGAAATCCTCCTTTTCCATTTCAACGCTCTTGGATTTTCGGAAAATATTTCTGAGCAATGATGGCAATGTACAGAAAAGCATGAGTTTAGTGCACTGTAGTAATCTCGTATGATGATGGATATGGAGATTTTTATGAGCAGCTTTCAGCTTGGGAGAATGAAGTTGAAGACACCACTGCAGCTGTACTTATGGTTAATAAATATGGTGGTAAAGACACACCTGGCAATATGGAAGTAAACACACGCTTTCAGCTTGAAACTAGTACTTGTAGCTCCCTTACTTGTTTCATTTTTTTGCTTCTTTTTCTTTCTGAAGCAGAAGGTGGGTCAGGTGGACAGATTCATTTCTTGTTTGCACCTGATGATGGCCAAGTGCCTTATGACTTTCTCTTTCTATGTCTTTATGCTACTAGGCTGTGGTAGGACCCGCTTGCTACGGGATGTGCAATTTAAAATACATGACAGATCTGATGATGGGAGGGGGGGGGGGGGTAGTCTTATTAAATTTTGTGGGCGTTACTAGTACAAGGGCTGCCTGGGCATAGCAAACATTATAAGGGGTCGTCGCAAAGTTTTTTTGTCGTCCCTGAAACAAAAATGATTCATTTGGGGGGGGGGGGTGCCAGCCAAAATTGCAAGTCGACCGACACTGTACATATGACATGTACATGAATGCGATTTTCGTCGTCCAGCATAGCAAGCTGTCTTCGTTTCAGAGGGAGGGGAGGGGGTCCGAGTACGAAATGAACGAGGTTCGTTTCAGGGACGACGAAAACTTTTGCGACGACCCTAACAAAATCACTTTGAAGTCGGTTCTAGTGCATCAAGTCTGGAGTGGAGGGCTTTCTAACTTACTTGATGACAAGTCTCTTACGACCTTTGCGGCCGAAGCCGATCACTTTGAAATCCTTGAATGTCTTGAGATCCTTGCCAATGCATGAAACAATGCCTTTGCACATGCGAGAAAGAGAGAGAGAGAGAGAGACAGAGACAGAGACAGAGACAGAGACAGAGAGGCCAGGGGGAGAGAGAGAGAGAGAGAGAGAGAGAGAGAGAGAGAGAGAGAGAGAGAGAGAGAGAGAGAGAGAGAGAGAGAGAGAGAGAGAGAGAGGGGGGGGGGGGGCAGAGGCATCATGACACTACTGTGACTCTCTCAGTAATGAAGCCCTGGACACAGCTTTTGGAGACAAAGAAAACTAACTGCTATGTTATGAGCAACTGTCCACCACTGTAACTAGCATACGATCAGAGAGCGAGACAACTAGGTACCGCATTGACGGAGTACTGAGACATTCAACGACATGATACCTAGCTCATCCAACACATCTCCAGTGCATAAACCAACAGCCTTCCAACTTGCAAGGTTCATGGTTAGGAAAAGACCAAAGCGGGGAGGGGGGGGGGGGATGGGGTGGACCAAGAAGGAAGGGAGGGGGCTTTGGTTTGGTATACTGCACATGTGGATTGTATTGCTGATTGTGAATGCTGGGTGCTTGCTAGTTGCTGTCACGGCCCATCTCCACAATACTCAGTTCTGACCTAGCAGCGTATCATATTTCGAATGCAAACACAAAGAAGAAAGAATCCCTCATTTTCTGTGAAGAGCGTTCCATTTCAAGGGCAAACATTAGGGGGACTAGAAGAGATCTCTTTCTTGCTGCAACTGAGTAGTTTGATTGGTGGTTGTATTTCCAACTCCAAAAAGTTGTTTTTTTAACAGTCAAAAGTAACACCCCCAGACCGTGCAGCCTGGACCACTCCCCCCCAACACACACACCACACACACATACTCACACATGACCCAGTTGCACAAGTCTCACCATGGTGACAGAACGATCTTCTACAGAGCCTCTTCTTGACGTAGATGTGATCGCCAAGCTTCAAATTCTTGATCTTCTTTCTTATTGGTGCCATCTGCACACAGCCCGGCAGTGATTTCAAACATCACAGTTCAAACAATTGTACTACATGTACCTGTACTACATCATTATTCAATCAGACTGAAGAACATCAGATCTACACGTACCTTCAGGCTCCTCGAAAACAACATATTATTGAAATATTTCCAAATGTTTCCACTAGTACTTTCATTGCCTTCTCATCAGGTGGATACAGGCAGAAAAGAAACTAACGAGTGTGAACACTGATATACATGTACAATGTAAAGGTGATACAATCAGCAGTAAGAGCAATGCGTCTACCATGGTCTACCAGGCGCCATGTCGCTACCATGTACAGACTGTGCTGGCCAAAGAAATCCAACCTCATGAATAAAATAGCGCCGGGCGCTACGCAGCCCTAGCACTACACATACTGGTCTGTGCACTCGAACGCGACACTACTTTATTCATGAGGTTGGATTTGCTTTGGACAGCACCGCACTTGTGAGAAGGCAGCCGCGAAGAAGCTCAGTGCGGTGGAAAGGTCGGAAATTGGGAGCTGATGAAAATTCTCAGTGGTCAGACTTGTCTACCCTCCCCAGGGAGAAGCGATACAAATTTGGCACAGAAAGGCAGCAATCAACTGTTACGGTGGATGAAGACGATCCGCGGAAATCAGCATAGCAGGACTATCGCCGATGACAGCTTGGACCTGACCATCTCATCACCAGCACAGAAGCAATTACATGATCCCTGTGGCTATATGTCATCACGTGTTAATGTACACATTTACATGGTATATTCAGGGGCGTATGAGGGGCTTGGGAAATGGTACGACTAAAGGATGGAGCGGGCTGTGAAGGTGCGGGTCCGGGGGTCCTCCCCCGTGAAAATTTTGTGAAAAAAGACACGAAATCCTGTGTTCTGGGTACTTTTGGCACATTTTTTACTACTTTCTATTTTTTAATCATGGAATTTTATGGTTCACGTGCAGAAAACTAAGCTGTCTTGAACCAAGTGTACCTAATAGCTGTGTTGAGTCGAGTATGAGTCAAACTCAAACAAAAGTCAAAGATCTGACGGGTCCCGATTTTTTATTACGGTTTTGCACGTTTCAGACGAACCTCACTTTGGAAAAGTGGTACGGCCATGGTCGTACCAGTTGTAGCGGGTGCTACACGCCCCTGATTAGTGATATTAGTGATCATACTGGTTAGTTTCGGTCTGTGTCCACCTTACGAGAGGGCAATGAAAATATCAATGGGAAAATGTTGGAAATGTTGCTTGTGAAGATCCTGAAGGTGGCTGTGTCACTGGTGCATGCTACTATTGCACTGGTGTATTAGAAGAACTACAGTGTAGTAACTAGTATTAAAGTAGTTCATGATTGTATTCTTGATAATGACTGTATACGTCATGCACTGTTCACTGTCCGGGTATAAACTATGGATTCCAAGAAGTCCCATTATTCAATTGCGAACGAATACCATCGGTCCCTTGGTCAGTTGGTGTTCGACCTAAATAGGTTTCACTGTAGATCTACCTGGAAGGTCAGAACCGGTGGATTGTTTGCGAGTATGAGTAGTCTACGAGTGTGTCTTTGTTGGGCGGGGAGGGGGATCCTGGGGAGGGGTGTACCAGGTCGCGCTATTTCTAGTAAGCACTGAGTACAGTGCATGTTTGGAGGGTGTGTGGACGAATCTCTGGCGGACTCCATCACCAGATCACGGTGACGGATAAGGGTAGGGGATATCGGTACATGGGCAGTGACGGGCGGTGAGATTCGCCACACATTCAACCACAGACAATACACCGGTAGAAAATGGAAGCAATGCCATTATGCCATACCTTGCCTTCCTTCCGTTTGGTCTTCCACTGCTCTACGTACACGGTCTGCAAATAACGGTCTTAGCACCGTGGTCGAAGGGCTAGACAAGACTTGAAGCAGCGAGCTTCTGCGTTCATCATCACCTGTAACGAGTAATGGCTTGTGCAACTACATCTACCGTGATCGTTTCCAAGTTCAAGTTCAAAGTTCTTCCACCACCTACGAGACAAAAAGGCGAAGAGAAGCTATAATATTATGTCACTTGTACCAGTTTTATTGATATGCAATACGAAGGTAGCTGTTGGGAAAGTGCTCCTTTTACTTCTCCATTTCACCCGTGATCGCGTCCTATAAAGTGGATCAACCGGGACACTAAGGAAGAAATTTCCCCGGGAATCCAGTTACTTGGTGGCAGGAGTTTGACTTTGAGGCTGATATGCCGAGAGCTTTTCTAGACCTAGAGGTGTATCATCGGTGAGTGTTTACTTTTCGTAGTGAGTCGAGTGAGCAGCAGACTCAACACGCAACTACTTACTTACTTCGCAAGTCATTCATGGTCATAGCCTAGCGCTATCCGTGACATTTGATAGGGTAGATATTGACGTAGAGCATGCACTGCCGGCCGTTGGACTGGTAGACCTACCATGTCTACAAAGACTACTCTAGTCTGACAAGACATGACATCTGATCCAAGATCCGACATCCAGGTCATGCAGTGCAGGGCCTGGGGTTGGATGGGGGAAAAATCACCGGTATACCGGTACTGCAGTATCGGTAGCAAGGAGTCTTGAACTAACTTTGAAGGAGACGAGGTGCTCAGCCTACACTACTGTCACTAGCCTACAGACTAGACTCAGTACAAAGATTTGTTGTAGGCCATGCCATAGCCTACAGGCTACACGTCGTCTTTACCACGCTGCAGGCCTGGCTAGCAGGGCAGCCGGCCGTAGATATGGTACTTGGTAGACCATGCCCATAGCACACCACCGGTAGTCGTGAAAGCCATACTGCCATACTGGCATACATCATGTAGATCTACGATACGATCATCATGATTTCAGGCGCGTGCTCGGCGATGGGCACGGGGGGCACGTGCACCCCCCAAAAAATTTTCAAACTGGGTAATTGCAATTGTAATGTATGCAAATATGCTCTAAAATTCAAGAAAGGTTGCAAACAAATTGCAGAAAATTGCCGGGGGGGCTCCCCTCGGCTCCCGTGCACCCCCCTAGTTGGGGGGGCCGAGCACGCCCCTGGATTTGTAGGTTTTTTTTTACAATGATCACACAGCTCACAGCTACAGGCAAAGACAAAAAACAGTGAATCCCAGAGGTATTTCGGTGACATGATCTCGACCTGGGCAGTGTATCCTGCGGAACGGGTAAGAAACAAGGAAATCCAAGTATCAGGCATCAATTTTACCCAACATCTCGATATTTTGCTCCGATTTTGCCGGCAATTTCCGCTCTTTCAATTCTTCGATATTTTGCCGAAAGAATTGCCGGCAGGATCTGTCTGGGCTTTTTGCCCTCAGCTGACCTGAGGTCTCGACGTCATGGGTAAAACGCACCAAAAAAGAAAGAAGAAGAAAAATGAAAGGAGTGACAGGTACATGATACGAAATGCTAGGAGGAGAGACAGTACATTAGAAGGAGGGGAAGGTCCGAAGGATAAGACAGACAGTGCTAGGAGGAGAAGGAGAGAAAAGAAGAACAGACGTGAATAATATGTGGAGCGGAATTTAGAAGTCATGGGGTGAGACTGAGGCAGATAATTATGATGCTGATACTCAGAGATGGTCATGTGCCCACGACCAGTCGTTGGTCTTCAAAGAGCGGTTGGCTGCAACTTTGAAGTGTTGCAAGTTCTTGTTGCAGAATGGACCAGAGGCAGAGAAGACTCCGGCGGGCAGCTGGTTCCAGACGGGGACAACTGCGTGAGGGTAGGCACGACACAGGTTGTTTCGGGAACGGACTGGAAGTTCATTTGCCAGATGGTGTGCGTGAGCATTACATCTCTGGAACGTACTACGGTGGAGTGGACTGTTTGGTGTTAGGGCTGCTGGGGTGGCAACATCCTCTGTAGAAGGGGATATGCATCCGGACAATGCATCTTGTACAGGAGGCAAAGTGCTGCAACCATCCGACGAAGAGCAAGACTCGGCAGCCAACACATTGGGGCGATGGCGCGGATGGCCCGGGCTTGCACACGGTCGAGTCTTGCAAGATGGGATGGGCCGCTCCCATCCAGACAATGGGGCAGTACTCCATCACTGGGCGCATTGTAGGCTTGGATGCGACCGGGCACGTCTAGGAGGTGGAAAGCGTTACACAAAGCGCCAAGTCGCTGTGTTGCCCGGAGGGCTACGGTACGAAGGTGGCGCCGGAAGGTAATCTGACCATCGAAACTGATGCCCAGAATTTTGAGCTCCTCTTGTTCCGTCACGCTAGATCCTTTGAAGTCAATTGGTGACATGTCCCATGGCATTGGGTGCGGTGGAAGCTGACAGTCAGTGCCTGGGATTTGGCTGGTTCAAATTTTATCTTCCATTCTTGACCCCAGCGGGAGATGTTGTTGACTGCTAGCTGGAGGGCTTGGGTGGTATCTTCCTGGGTAGCGGGGGTGATGTTGGTGTACAGCGTAGTGTCGTCTGCGAACGAGGCTAGGTCAGCACCGGCTGGTACGTGGTCCTCGCAGTCGTTCACGTACATGAGGAAGAGAGTCGGACCCAGAATACTACCCTGGCCTGGGGGACTCCAGCCTGAATTCGGAGCCTTGAGGATGTCTGGCCACAAATGATCACTTGATTCTTGAAGGTAGCGTTCACATGAGGTAGCTGCTGAGCCACTGTACAGTGTACTGGTGCAGTTGGCCACGTAGGCCATACGTGTATACGTTGGACTTGTGTAGCACACCGGGATGTGATACGCGATCAAACGCACCGGCTATGTCAATGGCGAGTATGCGTGCTGCGCCTTTCCCTGGTAGATCTACACTGACTACACACTACACTGTAGTCTGTAGTCTGCAGATCTGTAGCATGTAGTCTAAATACGATTACGAGGCAAGCAGGTACTGCACTCCCGAAGCCGATGGTCCAGTGCAAAGCATCCTCCTGGTTTCCTTTTAATCTCGAACGTGTGGTGTCACAAAGTTTCTCGACCGCACCAGTTATGTTTTCATCGCCCATTTCTAGTTTATGATACCACACGTTCGAGATGCTTTCGAGATATCAGAAACCAGGAGGGTGCTTTGCGCCACTGGGCTGTCGGCCTCGGCCCGGGAGTGCGGTACCGGTACTGCCAAGCTCAGTACAAAGTCATGTAATTGTTCTGATGTAGTAAGGTGCGAGGAGAGTTGTGTTCCAGCCCGGTGTTCCAGCCCGGTGAGTGTGTCTGGTTTTTGGTACCTGCCATCCCTGTGGCCGGGGACATCCGCCAAGTTTTCAAAACTTTGGACTGGCCCCTACATGTATGTCGTGAAAGAATATCTCTCGGATCCCGTTATCTAATGAGCCATCATATGAGAAAACACACATTTGTCGCAAAACTGTACAGTGCAGAAAAATGCACTTGAAAGTACTTGTCCAGGCAAGAAGGTAGCAATGCCTGTTCATTCTGGGGAAGTAAAATAAAATAAACCAACCAACCAAAGTAACGCGAGTTTACCCACTGGTGCGTCTGGACAACCAAGCTACAAACCGTAGTATTACTATCATACTAGTACCAAGAGTACATAAAAAAAAGTACTCTTGCTAGTACTATTAGTTGCGCTCACCTTCCCCTCCTATAATTATTATCGTGACTAAGAATCTTCAAAGTAGCCAATTGGAAGGCTGTTGGAGTGCGCACCCAAGACGTGCTGATAGCCAGTCAGTAGACTACTGTCCAGTGTCGGTCAGTTTTGTCCACGGTTATCGCATGAGCTGATTGTCGATGACTCCATGAGTCCGTCATCTCTCCCTCTCTTCCTTCGTTTAACCTCCCATGTAAAAATGACACATGTGGCCACCCATCTGTTCACCAATAGTCCATCCTTTCTATTTCTGTAAAATAGAAGAAGAAAACACATGGAAACGAGTTATGAAGCAACTATCCAACAAGATAATAAGCGGTCAGTACGTGCGATAACAGGGCACAAAACCGACAGGCTAGTACTGAGACAAACTGACAGGCTAGTACTGAGACATTCTGCGACCTGAGACCTACATGTACTCCAGCACATCTCCATGCAGTGCGCACGTGCGTAAACCAACAGCCTTCCAACTTGGAAGCCCAAGGTTCAAGTCAAGGTTGGGTAGGACCAAAGAGGGGGAAAGGTGAGCGCAGCGGAAATGTGCACCAGCTAAGTCCCACGGCAATAGGCCGCTGAATGTCTCAGTAGCCTGACATGTACAATGTAGATATTGGCGTCCGGTTTTGTACAATTCGTTTTCGCAAAGCTTCCCCTTCCTTTATCTCCGATATTGCTGAACCATCCAAGTAATAGTTGGGTGGTGTATTGCTTTGCTGCTTCGAATTGTAGTTAGACAACATTGTCATGCTTCACTGGTCTCGTCATCTTCCTGTAACAGTCGGCATTCTTTGTTGCCGTGGGCACATTTCCGCTGCGCTCACCTTCCCCCGTGGGCACATTTCCGCTGCGCTCACCTTCCCCCCCCCCCCTCTTTTGGTCCTACCCAACCTTGAACCCTCCAAGTTAGTTGAAAGGCTGTTGGTTTGCGCACTGGAGATGCGTTGAAGCTCTTAGGTCGCTGAATGTCTCAGTAGCCTGTCAGTTTTGTGCCCTGTTATCGCACGTACTGACCGCTTATTATCTTGTTACATTGGTGGATAGTTGCTTCATAACTCGTTTCCATGTGTTTTCTTCTTCTATTTTACATACTCGCTCATTATCTGAGGTCTATTTTGCACACCTAATGAGCCGTCCAAACACAACAATACGGCGAAACGTAGATCTACGTCGTGTGAAACTATGTACACTGTACTTGTTATTGTACACAAAAGGCACGACGGAGGTTTGTTATTATTGTTAATAGATTGACAGCATGAAACAAGGGTGGAGGACACTGTGTTCGGAAACAGTGACCTTACTACAACCTTCCGCGGTTGGCAGAGCCCCGTTCTCTGCGGACCATTTGAACCATATGGATGTTGAACCCCGCGTCGGGACATCACCAACCCCGTCTACAGAGAGCACCTTCTCGCGACAGTGTCATGGTGGTGGCAGTAACTGTTGACAGCTGACGAGCTGAGAGAAGAACGCCATGGGCAGAAGTTGGAAGAAAAGAAGATAAGAAATAAAGTTCAGGTTCAAGTACAAATAGCTACATGTCTACCATGACGACATCCAGGAGCGATCAAAGAATACACGACGGACGTAGGGAGAAGTCTTAAAACTCCCCTAGCATAATGAGGGTCAGAACCGGGTTCAACACCCATATGGTTCAAATCAGGGAGTCGTCAAATACCTTTGACGACTCCCTGGTTCAAATGGTCCGCAGGGACCGGGGCTCTGCCAACCGCGGAAGGTTGTAGTGGGGTCACTGTTTCCGAACACAGTGTCCTCCACCTTGTTTCATGCTGTCAATCTAACAATATGTGTGAACTATAACAAGGTTTATCTAATACTAGTTTTGAACTAGTGTTGGGTTATATCATAGGTTTTATTTTTATTATTATATATTTGAGGATTTCCCAAAGACGTAGTCTAAATTGAAGGGAGTTCCATTATAATGGGAGGCTGTAGCAGTGTAGGGTTGAGATAGCAGACAGTGGAGGGCTAATGATTCGTAATGAACAGCCAAGCAAGAGAACTACAATTATGCTGAATGTTCCAGAATGGTCCTTTACTCAATAATACCTATAGCCTCGGGGTATGCCTTGAAATACGAAATATACCGAAACAGAAACACAAAAATTAATAAGAATAAGCGCAACGCTCAAAGAAGGAGGACAGAGGCATGTCAGTGAGGAGTGGCATTGTGTTTGGTGTCAGAGAAGTGCGTGCAAATGTGACTGTGAAACAGGGACTGCGAGGCTGTGGCTCTCAGGTCTGCGGGCAAGGCATTCCAGACAGTAGCGGTGCGGAAGAGAAATGACCTCCCGGCGTGTTTCCCAACCCGTGGCAGAGTGAATGCGAGTTGGCGGCGGCGACTACGCGTGGGGCAGTATCCCGCTGCTTCAAAAAGTTCTGGTTGGGTGGTGACCAAATGGAAGAATTCCATAAGGCAGGCGATCTTCCTGCGCCAGGATAGACTTGGCCACCCCAGCTGTTTAAGCAATGATGACTTGGGCTCGTCTGATGGGCAAGGGTATCTCTCAAGCCACATGACTGTGCGAGCTACTCTGGCTTGCAGCCGTTCAAGGGTGAGCCGCTGTGCAGCAGAGAGGGAGGACTCCCATACTGGGGCGGCGTATTCTGCTGTGGGACGGACATACGTAAGGTACAGCTTCCTGACGATGTCTCCTGTTAAACGGTCAGCCATATGGCACAGAAGAACGCATCGCTGTCTTAACTTGCTTATTGTCTGTTCAATATGCTCCTGGAAGCTAAGTGTTTCACTCAACAACACTCCCAGGTGACGGTGACTGGTTGACGGCTGGATACCGCGGATGGTCTCTGCAGCTCCTTCCTCAGCGAATGAGATAACAACGGTTTTCGATGGGTTGAAGGTTCCGCCTACTCGGTCGGCCCAGGCAAATGTGTCCTGCAGGACAGTCTCCATTGGGCTGGTACCTTTGGTCCGTGCTTGGCCGACGGCGGTATCCTCCGCGAACAGGTAAACATCAGCGTGCTGGTTGCGTTTCGAGGCACTGGGTAGGCTGTTGATATGTACCAGGAAAAGCAATGGCCCGAGGTGGGAACCCTGGGGTACTCCAGACTTGACGGGACGTGGGGAGGACAGATGGTGTTGGACGCGGACGCTGAATGTACGCGTATCGAGGTAGTTCTTAAACCAACTCGTAGCCGGAGCATCGCAGATAGTCCCGAGTTGCTGGAGAAGCACGTCATGCGGCACTTTATCGAAGGCCTTCGCAAAATCGAGAAATGCAGCATCGTAAGGGATGCGTTTATCCATGGTCGAGGCGATCTTAGTAGTGAGCTGTATCAGCTGGTCAACTGTGGAGCGATCACGGACAAAGCCGAACTGTTCCGGGACAATGATGTTGTTGACCTCGAGATAGTGACCGAATTTGGTGGCGACAATCTTGTCTAGTGCTTTCGCAAGAGCTGGGAGTAACATGGCCAAACCACATCAACTTAAAGGGGAAGTTAAGGCAAAAATTAAAATTTCACCAGTTGTAGTCCTCGGGGTGCTGAGTCGAATGGTCTTGGTCCGAGAAAGCTGAGACGCTCCCTTCCTACTTGAATCCCAATCGAACTCGCGCACTTCCACCGAAACTGGGTGACTGCGCCCTACGAGATGGGGATTTGTATGCAAAATGTCACTAAAAGCGCCATTTCGTTCTTATAAAAGCACGGATGACCGCGATTGGCCCATATGTTGTAGTCTTTTGGACGCTGAGTCGACTGGTTTTGGTCCGAAAAGGCTGCGATGCAGCGTTCCGCCTTTATTCCCAATCGAACATGGTTGAACAAGCGGTCACGTGCTCCTGCGTACGCCAGTCACCTGGTCACCGTGCCTGCAGGGTACAACTTACTAGCCTGTTTGACCTTTTTTGGGTGCAGTCCTGTCACTCGAGTTGAACTCGAGTTGAACCTTGGTGTGAAAGTTGTCACCTGCTGGCGTGGTGACCAGGTGATTTGGGCACCCAGGAGCACGTGACCGCTTGTTCAACCATGTTCGATTGGGAATAAAGGAGGAACACTGCATCGCAGCCTTTTCGGACCAAAACCAGTCGACTCAGCGTCCAAAAGAGTACAACATATGGGCCAATCGCGGTCATCCGTGCTTTTATAAGAACGAAATGGCGCTTTTAGTGACATTTTGCATACAAATCCCCATCTCGTAGGGTGCAGTCACCCAGTTTCGGTGGAAGTGCGCGAGTTCGATTGGGATTCAAGTAGGAAGGGAGCGTCTCAGCTTCCTCGGACCAAGACCATTCGACTCAGCACCCCGAAGACTACAACTGGTGAAATTTTTGCCTTAACTTCCCCTTTAATTATTTTCTTGACTTCGTTCGCTAGCCGCATCCTTGCTCCGATGATGTCATTGATTTCTTCCAGGATAGATTGGTTGGTGCGCCGGTCGTGGTATGTTACTCCTAAGAGACTACAATAACAAACCTTTTTTTTTTAGAGTTGGATTCAGAGACATCATTCACAATGCTCTCGCTGATAATGCCCCTACGATCACCTTGTGATTATGAGTTATACATACATGTACATACATACATTGTCGTCAACTCGCCCACTGTCATGCATGAGGAGCACAGTTACATGTACAATGTTACTATGAATATGTAGTATTGGCGTCCGGTTTTGTACAATTCGTTTTCGCAGGCGTCCCCCTTCCTTTATTACCGATATTGCTGACCCACCCAAGTTGGGTGGTGTCACTGGTGTGTTGCTTTGCTGCTTCGAATTTTAATGTTGCCGTGGGACTTAGCTGGTGCACATTTCCGCTGCGCTCACCTTCCCCCTCGGCCTCTTTGGTCCTACCCAACCTTGAACCTTCCAAGTTGGAAAGCTGTTGGTTTGCGCCGGACTGGATGTGTTGGAGCTATATGTACATTGTACATGTAGGCATTAGGTCGCTGAATGTCTCAGTAGCCTGTCAGTTTTGTACCCTGTTATCGCACGTACATCATGTACATGTACTGACGACCACTTACATGACTGTACATATTATTATCTTGTTACATTGGCTCATTATCTGAGTTCAATCTTCCAATTTCTGTGTAAGATTTTATCTGTGCTCGGTTTTCAACAGGTTTTTTTCCGCCGCTCTATCTGTAACATACCGGTATTCAGTTACCTTCGGTGACTTCTTTGAAGTTCTTTCTTTTTTCACTTGTTATTTTTTTTCTCCTCCCCTCGGCCTCCCCATTATGTTATGTCGCTCACATGTACATGTACATGTATAAAAGGAGGCGCCATCGCCTGTTTGTGTTGCGACTATAGAATTCAACAACAACATCCGCACCATGTCTCACTAGCTTTAATCAATGGCACACTATGCTGTACTTGCTTTAGTTGCCTGGGTACCGGGTATACAATGTCATGTATAGTATTGGTATAACTAATTACTTCAACTATAAGTCATTTAAAATTTTGTAACCCGGTGATGTACAGATCATGTGTCTGAGCCTTAGCTTTGCTACATGTATGTGCAGGGAACGTAGCGTTACAACAATGACCTACAACTATTACTTGGCTAGTACAAGTACAAGCCGGTACGGTTGTCTGTTCTTTTCTGCCTTTGTAAACCATCATGGTCTAAAAAAATTGTCTGTACTACTAGTACTACCATGACCACTGAAGTTGAGTACTAGAAAGGATGCTGGGTGGCACAACACGTCTGCAGACTGCATAGTGCAGATCACTGATCTACTGACTGTCATACATGTACTGTAGTGCATATGCGAGCGCTGGTGAACTCCACTCTGCACTGCTGCCTGTAGTGTAGGATACTGCACTGTTAGTACTAGTATTACTTACTTGTCTTCTGAAGTGAAGAGTGAAGTGTAGTTTTGCCTATTGAGTAATGTATTGATACGAGTCACGACATGTCGACAGTGTCAGGCGCTAGGCATACATGTAGTGTAGGTAACGGTTGGAGAATGGATCTCGAGCCGCATCTCCAGCTCTGTGCTGCATGGGATTTTTGCTGTCATGCAGTCATGCAGGCCGCCTCACTTGTTCATTGTCGAGAAGCTGTCACAGCACGTCAGAGAGGAATCCTGGAATGGAGGTGCGTAGCTACTTGCACTGCACTACACTCTACACTACAGCTAACCCAACTCCTATTCTGCCTTCACTAGCACTGACTTCACTACATTTTTGTAGCGCTTCTCTTGCATGCACACAATCATGCTAGCGCAGCACCAGCAGCCGGAGTCACGTTGATCCAGTTCGTAACGTTACATTTGGCCGTCACAGGGCAAGCCGATAGAATGATGGTGATGTTGTCACTGTACTGCCTACTGCCAGTACTGGTGTGCTAGCCTGCAAGTGCAACCTGAAGGCTTACGATAACAATGCCTGTACAATGTCTACCGTTAGTCACAGCTTGTCTGTGCTCGGAAGGCAATGCTGCTGTCACCTTACTTGCATCTGTGCACAGTAGCTCTCCAAAGGCAAAGACGTTACAAAATGACACACAATGTGTGCTTGCATCTCCTTGTTTGAAGCGAAACTAGCTCGACTCTCGTCCAGACTCTGACAGCTACGGGTTCAGTCAGAATCTGCGGAGCTACGGAGAGGGTCTAGCGTGTAGACAGCAGTGACTGCTCAGGGCTGACCCCATCTCATTGTGACAGCAGTAAAGTCTTGCAGGCCATGAACTGTTGCCAGCCTCAGTGCTCAATTTATCCGTAATGATTTTAGAGCAAGTGGATCATCACGATCAATAGGAGTTTAGAACGATATCAGGCTGCAATAGTGTGACTTGTTCAACCCCTTGCCAGCCTTTCGGCTAGATTATTTTGCAGTAGTGTCGGGGCAGAGACGGCGCGAGTGTCGATGGTTGAGATACATGTAGTATAGTACAGTGTATTGTAGATCTGTCCTTCCGGTCGCCGATGTCCACTGCTGCCTGCATTGCCTGTACTGAGCTGAGGCTGTAGTCCATGACCCTCTCAACTGCTTTTTCAGCTGTTCGAATTTCCAGTTGTGTAAGCAACTGTCCCGTGTCCATTCGTATCCTGCCTGGCCCCGTGGCGTGAGGTGCGTAGATAGATGTTTACTACTACTAGTACTCATTGTACTAGTTCCTCCCTTGCACAAAGACAACCAAAGCGCTGCCTGGTTTGGTCCTGCCTGACACCGCACCCACGCTAGATTGACTGCGTGCCGCTACTCAACATCGTTTCCGTAACTGCTGCTCGCCGTGCCTGTGCTGCTAATTTATCTGCTCCGGGCAGGACGCGGCTGAGAAGTCGGATTTGGTTCAAGTCGTCACTTGCGCTTTGCCCATCTGCTTCCAGACCCACTAAAAGACCGTGTGTTCTGGCGCTCGACCGGACTCAGCAACAACCGTACCGTGGATTTCGTAGCATTAGTCGTCCTGCATTTCGCGACTCGCTCCTGCTCTAGAATCTGTGGAAGTTTGTGCTTGACGGAGGTATTCACTCGCTCTACAACTGATGAGCTGAACAGCCGTTTATTAGATCAAGTCGGGCACTGGGCTAGTCCTACCACTACTACTAGTGACCACCTACAGTCTACACGTAGATCTACGTGTAGACGTGTGGCTGTGGCTGTAGCGGCGACTGTGAGTGCTGTGACCGGCTGCACGAGGAGGAGGAGCAGGGACGATGTTGCGACGATTGGCTCATTCATTGGCCAATAATGACCTGGATGCCTGTATTGGCGAGCAGAAAACCTTCAATGAGGCCAGCAAAAAACTTTTAGAAGCTGATATGAAAGGTGAGTACACGTACAGCCGTAGAAAGATTTAGGATGCACACAACCTGATCACGAACGCGTATGTCTGTGCATAAAGGTTATATTTGATGGCTAGTAAGAAGCGAGGAACCCGGGCGTGTGTGCATGTGCAAGTGAACCATCACAAACCGACAAATAAAGTCATCTACGTGTGCGCGATCGCGAAATATTTCTCGGATAATGACGAAAATGCTAGATAAGCGCAACAAAACTACACAGACAAGGTCCTACGCCAGTGAAACCTCACATGTGTGTGGTTTCAGGTTCCACGACTGGTGTGGCCATGGCTGGACCTTGGGGGGGGGGGGGGGGGGGGGAGGGCACACCGCACCCCGCATTCCACACACACATCCACCCGGCACGTGTGGTTTCAGATTCCATTACTGGTTTCGCCCCCACACACACGTCTGCCCGACACCGATGTGGCATGCGGAATCTCTGCTTTTGCAGTTGTCACCTTGGGGAGCAAAAATGTGGGCGGATTTCAATCTGCTCCGCTTTCAGAGAGCGCATTGCGGCGTGGATTGTCCCCTGCACGGCTACACTTTACGGGGCTATTGTTGCTGTCTTCTTCCGCTCAGCGTACTCGCATTTAGCTGGGTTCATGGAAACTTACTTTTTTTATTTCTGTTAGTCAACTAGCTGATGTTTTCCTTGTCAAGAGTCATATTTATATGATTGTGTTTCTAACATTCCTATTAGGCCACGAGTATCGATACAAGTGGTCACAGAGTGAAAAGAACCCGGTCTTCAAGGACGTGTTTGAGAGGGACCTGCAGATAGCACATATTCGCTTTGATGCCTTTCAGAAGTTCATAGCTAAGGTATGGTGTTGCAGCATTGACATATTCTCGGGAGCTACCAGCTAATATTCACTGTGAGTGGCCCAGCCGGCTCAGTCATAACATATGTTCCAGTTAAATCTTTACACTCATACTTCGGTTATCCGGACCCCGGAGTTATGGGCCCGTTGGTCTACCACGCACCGTTTGGGCGAGTTTCAGTGGAGATCTTACTACTCTTTTTGTCACTTTTTGTGGAAATAGTGACGTCATACCGTATTATCTCTATTATAAGCACAGTCTCCAATAATAGAACACCTTCAATCGGGGGTGGCATTCAAAAAATAAAGTGCTCAGTCTCCATTATAAGCACACTGTGTAAATTCATTATCTGTACCGGCGAAAAAACCCCTGAAATGTGTGTGTCTGACATGAATTTGGCCATGGCAACATGCCTCTGAAATGAGGTTGAAAAATAATGGAACAGTCTCCAATAAAGGAACCTCTCCATTAATAGCACGGGGCGGAGGTACATTGACAAAAATATAGGAACGTGCTTATAATAGAGATAATACGGTATGCCGTATCTATGGCCTTTCCCCATCAAAATGTATGTGATTCGGAGTTATGGACATTTCAAAGTTACGGGCAGTGCCCGGTCCCGGACCAACCGGGTAAACGAGGTATGAGTGTACCCAGAAACTGTATCAAGCAATTTAATAAAGTGATCATTAAAAATACACATGTTACAAAGGCCTAGTTTTGTGTTTGGACATCATGGAGATACTTGGAAGTAGGAACCTGGTCCGAATAGAAGCTCAGCCACCACATCATCGAGTCGGCTTGTACAAGACTATAAGTCTGCCTCTGCCGGACTTTTATACACAACTCAGCTAAGACAGTATGCTAGTGATGTTCATATTCTAGGCAATCAATATAACAGCCCACTTGATGGTGTAATTTTCACTGACCATCTCCCCATCCCTTCCATCATCTGTCAGCATTCTCCAGGATTCTCTACATGTACTGTAAACTGCCTAATATTAGCGACGGATTAATGTTCGCTATTTTTTTCTACTTTTTCCATCGCAATCTCGATGGTTTTAAGAAATCGTGAAAATTTGGTGACGCGAATATTGGGCGGTTTACAGTATCTATTTCCCTCCCCAGTCATGTTTGTTTTACTTCATATCATTGGCAGATGCGAGAGTCGAGACAGCATTTTAAAGCCATCGCCAAGGAGGAGCGGAAGATCGAGGAAGTTCGCAAGCACCATGCCAACATCTGCACTCGGCTGGCTCGGTTAAAGAAGCAGGTATGATAGAGACTGCCCGGCCTTGGAGATGGTTTCAGTGCTTGTGACCGTTTGCACGCTTTAGACCTCGTCTGGTTGGTAACGGTAGAGCTTTGTCTGGTATGCTCTTTGCTTCCCAGATGATAAGTTGCAAAATAGTCATCATACTTGTCTACTGTTCCTCTGCTGATGCAGCTACTGGTAATAGTTGCTCCAAGTTACTGATACCACTGTCATACTATACCACACATGTACTGCACTCATTGGAACTTGGTGATAACATCAGGAAGTATGGCTCATTGTACCGGCACCGGCGAGTCCTTCTAGCTGGTCTGGCCACCAACAGTTGCTGCGGCTGCTGCTTTTTATGAACGCTGACCAGTTAGCTTCATATTGCGCTTGTTTGTCTTTGGCACGGACAGGTCGACTCAGCTAGCAAGAAGAATGACATAAGCAAAATCGAGAATTTGCTTCCTGAGCTGCAGTCAGCACTTGCCATCAATGATCATGCCACGCTACAGCTGGAAGAAGAAGTGGAGCGTACTGAAATTTTCAAGGCAAGTCCAATCATAGGCTAGGGGAACACTCATTCTTCAAATGCTAGTACATGATAGATTCTGAAATTGGCGCAGACATTTTTACTGTCAACCAATGATTCATGTTGCCTTTTAGGTCTAGACCTATGAGTAGATGCAATATTGTTTGGCTATGGTACAGCTGCCACGGAGGCAAACATTAATTTCTTTCTTTCAACTGCTGATTGTAGTCATCATATAATTATTGCTGTGGAGTTGCTGTGATGCCACAGTTTCCACTCTCACTATTCTAGTAGTGCACTGAGCCGTCTTCGAATGCCTACGACGGTGGTGTTTCTGATCACCACGGCTAGCCGAGTTCAGTTCAAGTTAGCTTGAACTGTACAGGCTGAGCTGGCGAGGCCTCTTTTCAGGAACAGTTAGCAGGTGGCTGTGTGGCTGTGTGGCTGTGTGGCTGTGTGCAGCATTGACTGCCGTTTTAAAAGTAACTAAGACCTGGCCGCTAACTGTTACGTGTCTATCTTTATTCTGATGATTTGTCTTCTTTTCATGTGCAACAGGTAAGGTGTGTGAGGGATGCATTGCGACTTGAAGCTGAAGCTTATCAGCTGCTGGGCAGGTTTATGACTCATCTGAGTATGTCACAACAGTCGCTGGCAAGCCTCATACCTGATGATCCACCCAACATTGCAGGCTACGATTCCTACAAAGGTGAGATACTGAGCAGCTACATGTACTGTTTGCGAGCTGCATCCGGTACAGTCAACCTAGTGCAGCCGGCGCATGAGTAGTGTTAGGTCATGATGGTTAGTCGTCTACTGCAGTGCTGGTGTTGGTTTAGTTGCAGGCAGGCCCTAGGCTTGTGCTAATCTCATACTTAGAGCGCTCCTGTGGACCACGTGGGCCTCTCACGAGTCAGAGTAAATAAGCATCGCTGTCTTCTTTGGTAGAGGGGTTCAGTTCTAGGATGGCACGGCCAGGTGTATCAGTGCATGCCCCAGCATCATGCGCCGGGGAGCTGATTTCATGTGCCACTTTTGAACTAAATTTGATTTGGAGTAAGACCGTAGAAATCATGGTCACAGTAGTATTCAACTGTGGTATGTGTGCATGTTGCGGCCTGCAGGTATATTCAAACTTTGAGAGTACTGATTAAACTCTGTGTGTTCGCTGTAAGTTTTGGCGAGCCGAAGATGCCGAAAATTCATGTGTTGGGCTTGCCTTGCTTGCTTCGTGTGTAGATGGGCCTCAAATGTCCAGCAGTATAATGGACGATCTGTGCCACTCACTGTCCATTCAGCCACCGACAGCAGGTCGCCTGGGTTCATTCATCATAGTTGATGTGTCTGATGGTGATAGCACTACATCCAGTATAGTCAGCACTGCTACTGCTGCCGCGTCCAGTCCACCCGACTCACCTTATTCTAGATTTGTGATTCCCGCTCCAACTGCACGGCCACCCATCCTGCCGCCAAGACCTTCAAAGACCGAATACCTTGCTTTGAATGAACAGGCCAGTTTACCGGCTATGGCTGCTGCTGCGACTGCTACCTATGGAGGGTATTTAGATGATACTACAACTGATTATGTGGCATCTGAAGATGTGGAGGCAGAGAGGCGACGAGCCAAGCAGAATGTAGCAGCTATTGCACATGGCAAGCCGCCACTTGCACCAAAGCCAAAACTGGAGAAGCCGGAGCCCGGCCTGCATGGTGAGCCTTTCCCCGGCCAAGTCCCCCCTATTCTACACTATACGCTACCGCGCGGTGAGGCTGATGGTAGTTCTACTGCTGCTAGTCTTGCAGACTGGTCAGAAGATACCAGTACACGGCCACTCCGCGGTGGAAGTACCCAGCAACATCCTGCAGTGCAGCACTTTCCACCTACAACCAGTCCGGGGAAATTATCGCCTGTCAGCCGTCCACCAAAGACGGGGACAACACAACCCTCGACAGCGAAGGTCAATATCACTGCTTCTCCACCTACTTCATCTCCATCATCTGCTGCAGGAGCAACAGCAGCAGTGACAACGAGTCTAGAGCAATCAGCAGTTGATGATCAAGCACCAAACTCTGCGCCTGTCCCACTCACCAAAGGTTAGTTGGGATCTGTATCTTGTCGAGTTGGATGTTAAGTTAAAACCTCTCTGTGGTGAGTCTGATGTCCTCACCTCCAACCGCTTTAGCCTTAGGAGCTACACCTGCACTTTGATCCGTAAAATGGTGGTGGTGTTCCTACGGATGTAGAACATTCGGTCTGACTGAGTCTCATGTGATGTGTGAAAAAGTTACCGAGTCACTTGCTTAGTAGCAAGAGTACATAAACAAGAGGTTGCAACTCCGCAGCTGGTCTGGTTCACAACGGAATTTTGTTGTTGACGTCAGTGACGTCACCTTTTTTCAGAACCGTTGACGCTTGTTTAAGTTGTCGTACGAACTACAAAGTATGCGCAAAGCTTGTGCTGGACCTTCATCGCGAGTTTTGTGTTTTTGCCACTTTCAAAACGAAAATTTGACTTTTTCTCCCGCTCCTGTAGCTTTTTACCGTACTCGTGGTGCGAGTTTAATGAAACCCTGCTGAGTTCACGCAGTCACAGACTTGTAGTGCATGCATCCTTCGGTATTTCGGCTCTGCAGGGGATCCGAGCTCATGATTCTATCTTTCCGCTGTCGTCCATTTGGTTTTTGTTGGCGCTTTTATGCGGAGCCTGATATGCAGTGTTGCTTGTACCTGTTGGTGTGCTGTTTGAATGTTTGAATGATAACAGGAGCAGTACAGCAGAGTGAGGCGACTTCGACATATCAAGATCCTGTGGATGCATATCTGTGGCTATGGCCGAAAGGAAAGGGCGAGTTTACAACGTCAAACCCAAATGTGACGGGCTCAGCTGCACCAGTTGTTGATGCCAATGGCTACCAGAAGCCTTGGGAGTGTGTTAGCAAAGAGGAAGGACTCGCCCAAAAGCGCAAGTCTCAGTGCATGCCCCCGAATGCGGCAGGCTCGGCCGCAGCACTTGTTGATGCCAATGGCTACCAGAAGCCTAGGGAGTGTTTCAGCAAAGAGGAGGGCGACCAAAGACGCAAGTCTCAGTGCATGCCACGGCGTCGTTCCGTACACAGGTCATCCTCCCGCTCTCCACCTCAGGTGACAGGTGAGACGCGGCGTTCCCGTTCACTGGCAACAGATACCAGCTCCACGGCGCAAGAATCGCCATCTCCTCCCGATAGGCAGGCAAGCATATCGCCAGATAGTGCAACAAAGGATGTGTCTGCACTCCAGAGCACACTGCACCGTATGGACATATCTCTGGACCGAAGTGAAAAACTACAAGCGGCCATCTCCAGTCACTCGGACCAAGGAAGCGAGCTGACTGATGCCACGCCGCAGTACGTTAACATAGATCCTGATGCAGCCTCCGGGGATGAAATGGAATATGCTGTTGTACCCATCGCAGCGCACTTTCAGCACATGACAGCTTCACACGTCGACGGTGGTGCAGAAGAAGGAGCCAGCGACTGGTCGATTCGAGACGACACGGCAAGCAGCAGAGTCCCTGTCCCCATCCGCCATCGTCTCTCTGCATTATCTCATGGTGGTGCTAGTGGTACTCCTGGTAATGGCACTCCAGCAGCATCACCTGTTGTGTTGCGCAAACGCAGTCTACCACTACAAGTTGACGGTACACGGGCGGCTAGGGTACTTGAACAGGAAGTTCAAGTACCCGCAGTGCCATCAGCGCAGCAAGCGGTAAATTGAGCTGGTCCATCAGGAACAACAACACTACCGCAGCACATAGACTCAAGTTGAGCATATTAGACTCTGGCTTGTACCCGGCTTCCGAAGATGTGCATCACAGGTTTCAACAGCGGCCACAGTCATGTCCAAAGCCAATGCTTGTTTGTAAATATATTTGGTAGCTTATGACTAAAAAAAAAAGCAGCCAAATAAGCTAAGTTTATGAAACAAATCTATCATATTTATTCCACTACTCCACTATTCCTCCATGGACATAATATTGAATTACTTTTGTTACTCTTTGGTTTTAGGGAGACTTTTTTCATTAACGTTAAAGTGACGCTCCTTTTTCTTCTTTTTTTTGGACGTATTCTGAGGTTCCGAGGCTCTAAATTCATAATACATTTTCATGTATAAATTTTAGTTCTCTCTCTACCTACATATACGTTGTAGGTCTGTTTTTTGGTTATTTGAGCAGAAGCATGGCAGGGCGTGACTCTGCAAGTCTGACCATGCCCAATGCGCAAGTTATGACCAGTGAATACACCCATCACTGATGAGATTGAATGCAGCCGGATTGTTCATGCTTCTCCAGTGATGGATGATGATCGGCAATAAGGTACGTAATTGCATGGGGGCATGACTCCCGGCCCTATTGCAATATAAATACTATAATAATAATAATAATAATAATAATAATAATTCAACGGTATGGTTGGCTGAAGACTAGACAACCCACTGGATTGCCCTTAGGCCGTTGTTACACTACGGCACGCGGCTCGTGTCACGTTTGCCGTCTCACGGCAGAGCTCGCGGAAACGCTGACCTGCCCTCGAAAGCCCAAGTCTGGATTTGCTCACGGCACGACTCGCGTTTGGATCACGTGACCCGAAACCGTCAGAATCTGATCAAACGTGAGCTAGACAAGTAGACGCGAGTCGTAGTGTAATAACGGCCTTACTGTGCTTACAACTCCCTGGATCCTACTGTACCGCGACAACTCTTCACTGGATCCTCAGGGGCGGATCCAGGGGGGTGCGAAGGGTGCAAATGAACCCGTCAGGATTTTTCCAAAAAAAAAAAAAAAAAAAAAAGGCCAGGCCGGCCAGGCTCGCTGCGCGGATCCGCGCCCCGGATGTTCGCCCTCAAGCACCCACGGAAGATGAGGATGACCAACATTCTCCAGGATGCGGAGTGAGGAACCGAACAGCCGCCCTGAATTCTGACTAGAGTTGACATTGTGTATATAGCATGTACATAGCATAATCTGTGTCTGACTGAGAATCATACCGGTAGCAGTCGTAAAATTTAATTACTTGTAAATTTTGACATTCAATGTGTAACCAAGAGTAGATAAACAAGAGTGTGCAACTCCGGATCTCTCCTGCACAATCTGCAGATACCCCGCGCCCACGGCGGAATTTTTTGTTTACGTCACCTTTTTTCAGAGAAACGCGGCTTTGCCGCAGAGCAGTGTGAGAGCACGTGCTGGGCACCGACCTTGTAGTGTAAAGCCCAGCCAAGTGCACGAGGGAAAACTCTCCAAAAGGCTCGCAGCGCGTGCGTCGTCGAAAAGATTACGTCAACAAAAAATTCCGCCGTGGGCCAATCCATCCGGAGTTGCACACTCTTGTTTATCTACTCTTGGTGTAACTTATCATACTACTCATCTTGGTGCTATGTGTAATTATGATATTATACAGTAACACACATAACATACTATGTCTTTGGTTTACTACTGCAAAAGAAAATAATTATATAAGTTTCATCCTCGCACCCCTCAGCTTTGGGGTCTGAATCCGCCCCTGATCCTACTCATGATGATGATGAGTAGGGAGCAAAGATCAAAGAGGTTATTATACTCTTGCTTATACATGTACCATACTCTTGACTTGAGTCTTGGTATGTCCGGGGGGGGGGGCGACTCCGAGACTCCCCGTATAACTTGCACTACAAAAACAGTCTACACTCTCCACACTACAGTCTTCAGACTACAGCTTTCCACACAGTCAGTGCGTCCGCCTTGTAACATGCTGTCAGTGTCAACCCCTGGTCAACTGATCAACACATAAAGGAGCGAGCATCTGCATCAGGGAGTCGTCAAATACGCTCGATCGACTGCATGCTATGATAGTCCATCGGCCAAATCTCAGAAAGGGCCTCTTTCGGCGAAGGTGATGCACTGAAGCTCCAACTAAACGCCCTTTGGCACACTAGCTCATGAGACCCCATAGAATACGAATCCGTTTGTTGGACGTTGCCAATCCAGTCCAGGATAGTCGAACTGGGTCGAATACCTTCTTCCGATTTTCGTAATTTCGTCCACCATTACATCTTTCTCATCGACTTTTTTTCGCTTGGCGAATGTTCTTGAGCCGCTGAGCAGAATCTACGCACGCTCGAACACTTGAAATGCCTGCATGTTGACGGTTCGCAAGATTCTAGCGAGCTTGGTGGAAATCTATTATTTATTTTGACATTTTTGGGGGAATCTGAATTAGAACAGTAGAAGCTCATTCGGAGAAGACGGCGTGTCGCCGCTGTCGGATTGTCGCTACTGTGTTTCAGATGTATTCGCTTGAACGTGCTATTGAGGATGGACAGAAGATGAAGTGACGGCTTTCTTGAACACGGACGTTGTGTCTACATTGTAGCTGAAACATCTCATCTGGCGTCTAGAACGCAATTATTATGAGTTGTGAGTGCCAGCTGAGCTGAACACAAGCTGGACACCATTCGTCAGCTGGGAATTTGCATCGAAGCTCTTGATAGCCACGATAAGCATAATTATACAGAGGTAACCTTGTTTGACTCAATACGCATGCAGGTGATACCACTATTGGCACTACAATGTAAATGGTGCAAAATTGATGCAACAGCGAATATGTACTTCGTACAATCACGAACAATTGTAAGGCAAGTGTTCATGCCTGTCATCAAGAGTAGATAAACAAGAGTGTGCAACTCCGGATCTCTCCTGCACAATCTGCAGATACCCTGCGCCCATGGCGGAATTTTTTGTTTACGTCACCTTTTTTCAGAGAAACGCGGCTTTGCCGCAGAGCAGTGTGAGAGCACGTGCTGGGCACCGACCTTGTAGTGTAAAGCCCAGCCAAGTGCACGAGGGAAAACTCTCCAAAAGGCTCGCAGCGCGTGCGTCGTCGAAAAGATTACGTCAACAAAAAATTCCGCCGTGGGCCAACCCATCCGCGAGTTGCACACTCTTGTTTATCTACTCTTGCTGTCATAGAAGAATTTCAGCCCGGAAGTCTTGTTGTCATGGTCATAAATAATACAGGACTTGAGTTGGCTCTGGACATGAACACACTTGTGGTGAATACGGTCATTATTGCGAGAAAAATATTTAGCCACTGTATGTTAACTGATGCCGCACTACACGCAATATTTCATGTACATGTGTGTGAGACTCAATTGCATCCACAAGGCCGTAGATGCATGTAAGCACACAATGCTGTACAGTATAAGTAGTAGTCGACATGTGGTGTCTTCCTGCTGCACATGCACATGCGGCAAGTTGGCAACGACACATGACCTATCTGCACCGCACAGCGTGAGCTTAGAAAGGAATATTGCACACATAGTGCTATTTGTGTTCCGATATCGTTAAGCCGGTATACATGTACTAGTATCCTTATACATGTACCTGGTCACTCGATAGGCGATGCCGACTGTACTAATCTTATCCATATTACCCGATAGGCTATAGCACACTGCGTCAGATCACTATGCAACAAAACAAGAGCTTTGGAGCGAATATACACTGAAGCAAAGTAGGTTTCAACGGTACAGCACTAGTCACGATGAGGGGAGTTACGAGGATGGTTAGGCCGTGACACATAGATGATGATTGTTAATGATTCATGCACGGTGGAAAATTACCACCAATGGCGATCATATTGCTTTCACAACAATGACATCAGTAGGAGCAGTGACACAACCTTATTGCTCCAAGTAGGATTTACAAGCGAGTGAAGGGAGAGCAGACTGGTCTAATAGCAGACCGGGTCTAAGCAAGGAAGTAATCGGCATCAGAGGTGAGCTTGCACATCAGAAAACAGATGATGATCACCAAACACAGATAAGTTGGCTATGTGTATGTTTGTGTCACTGTGTGTGCATGTGTGTGTGTGTGTGTGTGTATGTATGCGCGCACATCTGTGTGTGAAAGAGAGGCAGACAGACAGATAGCAAATGGTGGGAGGGATCAAGGTCTGACCTCAGAGTTAAATGCTGACGGTGTGGAATAGCAACAGTGCGAAATCGGGCAGGGTGGTTAATGGCCCACACTGGAGCCGAGTAGGAGCGCCAGTGGTTGAGGGCTAGCACAGGAGTAGCAGCAGCTCCAGCCTAGGAAGATCAGCTTCTGGATGAAAATCTCCCAGACACAGTAGGTACCAAGCTTCACTAGCAGATTGCCGGCAGGGGTGCACGGCGAGCACCCGTACATCCCTCAAGCCACCAGAGCCGCAGTACTTGGACACGATCCAGGTGCTTACCCGCCAACAATGCTGAGAAGGCACTGGAGCCATACAGGAACTTATGATCGAGCATGACCACAGACTTGAAATACAGGGTCCGGCGTTGAATACTGAGACAGCGACGTCTCCTCCAAAGAACACCACTCAGCCCCACCATTGCATTATTTTCGCTTTTTCATGATTTTTACAATTGTGTTAGAGCACACAGCACTCGATGCAACATTTACCAGTGACTAAATAACTCCGCGTCTCCGACCATAACTGCAGCGTTCCCGTGAGCCTGTTGGATTTCTGTCAGCCTGTTGAGATTATCTTCATCTCGTCACATGTGAGCCTGTGTGTTTCATCCGTATCGTGGCACAATTACACAGACACGATTTCCAACTCAGGCCGGTTCCGTTGCTCGAAGGGTTGGCGGTAAGAATTGCTACGCCGTCTGTGGCTGCATGGGAACTTGGCGAGTCGTTGTCTTTCTCCATAAATCCTGATCGTCACGCGAACAACAGCCACTATTGCCTAAAAACTACGACACAACAGTATCAAGCTCGCCCCAGCAGAAGGACACGAATGACGAGCGCTAAGACGGAGAAAGAGAGACAGGGTTAGCGAGAGCTGACTAGTGCAGGTACGCTGTCACCTCCTGAGGTGGTGGGCGAAGCAGCGAATTGAAACGAAGGAAGATAGAACTTATTAGAAGGCATACGGAGGCACCAAAACCTATTGCCTGTCACATACTAAGTGCCATTTAGGGTTGACAGCTGTCAGCTGACAGCCTCAAAAATTTGAAAATCTGCTCAAAAAACTCTCGATCAGAACTCTGCGCACTCTCAAATGGAGCGCACAGTAAAAAACTCGGCGACGAAGAACGCTTCGTATCGACGCCCTGGACTGAATTCGGCACGTCCAACAAACGGAATAGTGTTCTCTGATATATTCTCTACGTGCTGGGTATGGTCGCGTTTAGTTGGAAGCTCAGTGCATCACCACTTTCGATTTTGAGACTTGGCCGATGGACTATGAGTATGAGTATGAGTATGACCAAGAGTCCATAACCCCCGGGGGTTATGGACTCTTGGTACTGTAGTCTGTATGACCAAGAGTCCATAGCCCCCCGGGGGTTATGGACTCTTGGTATGAGTATGACAGAGTCTCGAGTAAAAACTGGCTCTTGCTATGACGAACACCATTGACATTGTGCAGGAGAATTAGTTCTTTATAGCCGAAGTTCGTTATACTGTAAACAGGAATGACATGTGCAACAGTTCCTGGCCTGTTGAACATGTTATGTTCCCATCATGAACTTCGCTATATGCGAGTTCGCTATAAGTGGAATCTATCACCACTGATCACGCGCGCACAGCATGCAAAAACTGTAAAGACAACAATTAGTACTACAACTTACAAGTACAAGTACAAGAAGACTTGCGACGTTGTGTAAAATTCAGGGCTGGTATTTGGGATCACAAAACGGCAAACACGTCAGAGGCCATCTTGAATCACTCTACGTCATCAGATACCCGCACGTGATGCGGGGCCGCGAGATCGCGACTGTGCCAAAGTGTACTTGCCAGTGCAGTCTTTGACCTAGCTGCAAGAGCAAGTGCTAGTTTTTTTTGGTGGTGCTTGAACTAGTTCGAACTGCTTCCCTTCGACTTTCTTTGACAGAGCGGGTGCTGTTAGGGTTTCCTGTTGTCAGTTTGTATCCACCACCGGTCTTGTATGTCAGTGCTTGTACAAGGAGGTGTTCAGTAGTTATTTTCAGTCCGCGCCATGGGTCGCATCCAGGGTAGGAAAAAGTCGCACTCTGACCGGCTTGATTATCCCGAGTCGAGAAAGAAGCGAACTAGTGGCCCGTTCGGCTCAGTATCATGGCCAGCTGGACGTAGATCAGATCGCCCAGAGGTCGAACAAACCGACAGTAGTCCTGAAATCCTTACCTCGCAGAACATTGACGATGTGGAGCGCGGTGTTCAAGAACAAGGAACCATGGTAATAATTGGATTCGCTCCAGAAAAATTATTCTCGTGGTTCCCGGTTCCTTTCCCAATATTTCCTATGGTCTGGATACGTGCATCACGCTGAAGCCTAGATGAATCAGATTGTAAGTCAGTCTTCTCTCTAGCTCAAGATTTTACGAACATGTTATCAGTGAACAATAAAAGAAAAGGACACAGTGCAACAAATGGAAAATGCACGTCTCCTTCTTTTCCTTGCCGTGCGCACTGCAGTTCTGACTGGAAGGTGTCTTCCGTTTGTGAAAGAACCAGCGCGAATCGCGCGTGGCGCGGCGTCCTTCAAAACGACACAAGTGAGCTCCACATGAGCCGATTTTGACAATCGATGGCTCAAAATTTTCAGTAGGAGATGCTCCATACTTTGACCGAAGCGAATTTCGCCAAAACGATCCTAGAGGTGGGACATGTTTACCGAGTTTGAGGGTGTTATTTGAGGTCTAAATTGCGAAAATCAAAAAATCCTTCGGTGAATCCCTTTGCCCGCATCTGAACTCGGTGCCTGCAAAATCTCAGCCTGCTAGAGAGAACTGTGGCTCACTTGGGTGGATTTGAACAGGCCAGAGTCGACGCGAAGTACGGCAAGATTCCCTGTACACAGCATGGTGTGACACATGTCACGTGAACCAAAATGGCGCCCACGTGTTTCTGTACAAGTACTAGCCCTGAAATTACCAAAACTGTAGACTGAGCATGAGAGGCACTTTCTGCTTGCTTATTATTTTCAGTCCTGTATTGACTATTGAGCTTACTTTTCTTACTTGTGCTGTTACATACTAAGGAAGTACGTTATCTTTGCGAGCCCGAGTCTCGTTTTCGTCTTGTGCTCCTCATTCTCCTGGCGGTATGTTGCTAAGCGGTGGCTGTGTTCTTGACTTGTAACAAAAAGCGTCTGCCCTCTGAGTTGTTTGGATTCTCAATCAAGCAGTAGTCTGCTCACAGGGATGGCGAATGACAACGAAGCAGAACTGATCAAGGTAGTTTTTTTATCTGAGATGAAATCACTGTGCTTGACCTATCTATGAGAACATGCTTAATTTCATAGATGTGAGTGGAAACGTAGGAAAGCAATTTTTCTACCACCAACCACCATCCAAACATCAGGAATCATGGTCGATTTTGTTCCCCACGATACTGTGTAGTACTGTAGTCTAGTACTCAACCTCTTTCTTCCCTGCTCCGTCAGTACTAAGCAAATACTTAATTCGAGTACATGCACACCAAAGAAAGCAGTGAGCAACTCACCTCTCAACAAGCCATACTGGATACAGATCGATAAACTGCAGTTTGAAGACTGCTGATACTTCTCTTGGTAATATACATGTACATGGCACCTGTACTATCAAGAGTACATAACCCCAAGAGTATACGACTCTGCATATGGGGTCTGGCGCGGCATTACTTAGCTACGAACTGTGGACCATCGCGTCACTATTGATCTGCTATGGTTTCCTGCTTCCGAAAATCCGCTTTCACCGGAGACTGGATGGTTTTGTATGTGATGCATCACGCACAGGCATTGCCCTTGAACTTACCATATTGCACGTGAAATCGTTGGGGCTAAACCGTAGAAAAGCTCAAATCCAGGCAGCTGGATCGTCATTTCACTATGTACCGTAGTTCCGCGCATATAAGCCCATGGGCTTATATGTGGAATAATGCAGTTTGGGGATAAAATATCCAGTAAAACATGTTCGTTTTTTAGCCCATGGGCCAATATTCGAATTTTGAAGGTTCACGAAAAAGTACAAGTCCGTGCTCATAGTGGGTCTACCATACTCTACTGGTAAACTGTACTGACCTGCTGTACCATGGTAGGAAGAGTCCACATTGTGAAAAATTCTTGTTGACACGCGAGTTGCATTTGTGTCTGTTTATAAGCCCATGGGCTTATATCCGGATATAGGCCCGTGGGCTTATATGCACGGAATTACGGTAATGAAGGCAGTGCACCGCACAGGGCACCCATAGCTTGGAGATCAGGAGTTGCACACTCTTGGGGTTATGTACTCTTGGTACTATCAGGAGTAGACAAACAAGTTGAAACAAGAGTGTGCAACTCACGGATAGGTTAGCCCAAGGCGGAATTTTTTTGTTGACGTAAACTTTTCTACGACACGCGCTGCGAGTCTTTTGGGTAGTTTTACCTCGTGCACTTGGCCGGGCTTTACATTTCAAGGTCGGTGCCCAGCACGTGCTCTCACACTGCGCTTCGGCAAAATGGCGCTGTTTTCTGAAAAAGGTGACGTCAACAAAAATTTCTGCCGTGGGCCGGGGTATCTGCAGATTGTGCAGAAGATATGCGGAGTTACACACTCTTGTTTATCTACTCTTGGTACTATGTTATTGCCATGGCTGGCTAACGCCCCCTCCTTTGCATTGGCTTCTGCCATTGGACGGTGACATAATAATAATAATACTATTAAACGTAAAGTACGGATGTGAAACCAGAAATTTTCTTCTGGTTTTGAGTACACCGAGAAATCTTTACTGATCATCCGAATGTTCACATCATGTAAGCATGAACCAGTATCTGGGATCCACCTTCACTGCCAACAACTGTAATTTAAATTGTGTTATCACGGGACGGGGGCTTGCTCGGTAACACATTGAGAGAATTTATAAAAATGTCCCTTCAACCAGTGGGAACGTCACAAAAGGGTTGAACATCAGCCGCTGAGCGAGAAGAACTAAAAGGCTAGTAAAAGCACTACAACAGAGAACACGAGCATGACTTAGCCAGCTTGTAGCAGTGTTTGCTTGAAATACTCTCCGAATACTTTCACTCGCCGAATCTTTGATAGCTTGTGGAAAGAATGAACATCATTGTGTTCCTTGCTGCGATTAGTTAGCCCCTGGTGCGGCATCGGCTTCTTTTTGATGTCATCATTTTCTGTGTGTATGTGTGCGTGCGTGCACGCACGCGTGTCTCTCTTTCTCTGTCTCTCAGGCACAGCAGCAGCTGGGACCGATACTACGATTCATTGCAAACCAACCAGTCGGTGTTCCTCCGTCTCTTGCGGGATTTTCCGCTTCTAGCGCTGGTGGCAGTGGCCATGACCACGGCTCAACACCAGCACACCACATGGCACAGAGTGCTGCTGATGGTGGTGTCAGTGCAGCGCAGTCTGCTGCTGTTGTAGCCGCACTCAAACACATGGTACCGACACAGTCCATGCTGCCCAGTGCTGCTGCTGTTGCTTCAGCCAGTCCCGCCGGTACACCGCCTGTACCTGCGGCACTGTCAATGGCTAATGTGTATGCCACGCAAGCTCGGCCCACCTTTCAGCAGTCTCTTGCTGCTGCAGCGGCCGCAGCTGCAGCAGCTGTTGCTACGGCAACAAGCACTGCGGGCAGCACGACCGCAGTGCCAGCTGGTGCAGCTGCTGCTCCTGGCAGTTCTACTGCAGTAACGCATTCATCTCTGCATTCTTCAAGCCATGCAGCTGCATCAATGGCGCCGGGGGTGGCAACATCCTCCTCTATGTCCAATGCAGATGACAACAGGTACCGCAAGTCGTCCGCTTCAGCAATGGCTGCATGCGGCAATGTGGAGAATGACAGTGCAGGTTAGAGCATGGTGGAATGTTTCCAAGGAGCTAGCGCCTTTGATGGCGTTTATCATTCATAGCTATTCTCTTTGTGATTTCTGTTCAGGCGAGCTCTGACCTTGTGGTTATGACTGTATTCAATTGTATTAATTCAAGTATTATTTACTTTCTACAGTGGTACCATCCTCCGTAGCTCCCCCCCCCCCCCTCTCTCTCACGCACACACACCATGTATGTACCATGTATACGCCCGTCGCAAGAGAAGCACGCAAATCTGCAAATGCACTGGATGTGCACCCACAGATTTTCTCTTATAGCAACGATAGCGAACAAGATCTGAATGAGACAGATCAAGACTTGCGCCAGATAACTGTCTAATCCACACAACTGGCGAAGCCATGTGAATCGACCACCAATGCACACCTGGTCTACACCACACGGAGTACATCGGCATAAAACGGCCAAGACAGTTACCTATGCACACCCTACACTTGCTGGGGTAACCAGTATAGACAGCACGCTGCTTTGATAGAAGCAGACACTAGATGCACTGGTACCTTGAAGTGAAATTGGACACACACACACACACACACACAGCAAGAGCTTAATTCTCCAAACGATGACACAGGAGCAAGACTTGATACTGATGGATCTTTGCAACTCGACCATATAAGTCTTCTTCAGAATGACCATTCTTTTCACAGTTGTACATAGTCTGCCATTCTGAATGTGTCTGTGTGTCCGTTTATATGGCTGTGTATAGACGAAGATGATGATGATACGGCAAGTTTAAATGCTTCAAGTACTGCTGTTACTCCGGCACCGATATCGTCTGGGCGCAAGTCTGACCATCGTCGTGCTGCTCATACCAGTGCTGAGCAAAAGAGGCGGGATGATATCAAGGTATGTGTACCATGTGGAGCGTGGTGTATTGTCACCACCGAGCCGTGATGATACTAATGTCTGTGTACTGTGCATGTGTGGAGCATGGTGAGTTGTCAACTTGTCACCATTTGTGGAGATTGGTTTTCTCATGTGTTTTGAGGCAAGCTTTTGCGGGCTTGAACCCATTGCAATCAGATGTTCACACCTTGTGTCCTTGTAACTTGCTGAAGATCTATAGCTAGCACTGCAGTCCAGTAGAACCTCGCTCATCTTGACGCCTGGTGGCTGGAAGGCTAGATGATGCCATATACTGGTATCTCAGAATCCGAATACATGTACACTACTGTCTACAACCAGTGTAGATATGGCACATGATTCTCTTCAGTTGGGCTTGCTGTACCAGGAGCCTGAGGGCCGATGCCACTTGCAAGCACACACGTTTGTAGGTGCTGACTATTATTGCCTATTACGAGCTGAATCGTTCGACTGGCCACCATGACAGGGAATGCCTTTTCAGATTTGACTGTGAATAGCTGGCTGCAAGGAGCGTCGAGGGAGCTGTCCCGATACGAGGGTTTCTACATGTACACTGGTTCATTGTACTTGTACATGTATGAGTATGTGTTGGAGTACAGTGAAAGGAACTATGGTGTTGATGGAGTGTCATGGCAACAGCAAGGTGTTCCTACAAAGCGGATAGAACAATTGTTTTGGTTCTAACTCGCAGTGTCGTCACGCTTGGTGTAGTGGTCGGACAGCAATAGTTATTACATTGTACTTGCACTGCTTGTGGGAACTTGACGTACATTGTATTGGCGTGTGTGTGTGTGTGTGTGTGTGTGTGTGTGTGTGTGTGTGTGTGTGTGTGTGTGTGTGTGTGTGGTGTGTGTGTGGTGTGTGTGTGGTGTGTGTGTGGTGTGTGGTGTGTGGCTCTGTTCTGTTGTACCGCAGCACGGCTATGAAGACTTGGCATCGCTAATACCTTCTTGCCAGACCAATAATAACAGTGGGCAGAAGCTTAGCAAAGCGGTCATTCTGCAGCGCTGTAAGTTCTGACCCTCATGCTTTTCACCTAACTCCATCCACTGTTGAAATGTTTGTGTGCTGCAACAAGAGTAGCTCCCAAAAATGTGCAACTCCCGATGGTTTGCTGTCCCGACTCGGTTTCAGAATACTCTAGTCATTTTTCATGAAGTACCCAGCTCTATGACTGTATGCATATGAGATGTGAAGTTGATCGAATGCGTTTCATTTCTGTGTGCAGTCCAGTAGATTGCATCATGAAATGTGACATAATTCTGAGAGCGAGTCGTGGCAGAGGTGTATGTGGAGTCACATTGTAGGGGTTATGTATTCTTGCCTGCATTTAGCGTGCCGATGGTGTAACAGCGGACTCGGTTCGGGTTACATATATTATTCAAATTACAAAGGAAACAACCCGTACTCCAGAGGAACAAAAACACAACCGAGTATCTCCAGCTCCTAAAAACAACCACGGGCCCAGATCCAGCTTGTGCAGAGTTCCGCGCGGATCTACGGCTAATCCAAGTCATGGTAGCAGGGCTGCTACAGATGGGTATGCCCCTGATTGTTGAGGAATGGCGTTCTGTTTAGTGCTGTTTAGTGCTTGTGTTGTTGCTGCTGTTGCTGCCGTTGTTTCTTTCGTTGTTGTTTTTGTTGTTGTTGTTGTTGTTGTTGTTGTTGTTGTTGTTGTTGTTGTTGTTGTTGTTGTTGTTGTTGTTGCTGTTGTTGTGTTTGTTGTCATTGTTGTTGTTGTCATTATCAACGTTATTGTTTCTTTTGCTTCTGCTGCTGCTTCTGCTGCTCCAGCCATCGACTATCTAACTTATCTCAAGAAGCACCGCCAGCAACAGGAACAAGATCTTGTTGCATTACGAAATGAAGTTGTCGCACTTCGCATCATGAAACGGTATGTCGGCCATAGTCGCAGTGAACGTCTATGCAGGTTTCTTGTTTTTAGAGTGGGAGTTACAGTGCAAGGAAGACCTTCTGTATACATATTGAAGTTCTCTCTCTCTTCTTTTGCTTTCTGTTTCTTCCCCGAGGTCCTAACTGGGATTCACCTGGGATTCTGGGAAGTCCTTGGACATAGTATATTAATTGTTTGTGTGCGTGTGTGTGTGTGTGTGTGCGTGTGCGTGTGTGTGTGTGTGTGTGTGCGCGTGTGCGTGTGCATGCTTATCCATGGTGTAGGAATTATGAGCAACTGGCCAAAGCACATACAGCTCTGGTAAGTCTCAGTTATGGATTTTAAATGGATTGTACGATGCAGAACACTGTTGTTGTCAGGTAATGACTGTGTACCGGTGTTGGCATGTTGCTTATTTTAGTTATTTGTTCTTCTTTCATGTAGCCACCCGAGAAGACACCTCAAGTATCTGATGCTGCCAAATTTGAAGTTGTAAGCCAACATGCCCCCCCCCCCTCTCTCTCTCTCTCTCTCTCTCTCTCTCTCTCTCTCTCTCTTGTTTGTGTGTCTGTGTGTGTAACACCCTGCCGCTCTCAGTCTCAACTGCTATCCAGTATGGTGTGGCATGACTCTGTTGAAAATAGGCATACATAATATGTAGTTGCAGAACTATCGTGTTCTACATTTGAAGTAGAATGTCCGTTAATATTAGTGGTCCTACAGCAGTTTCAGCTGTTTTGTCCTAGTGATCATGTGGACAAGAGAAAGCAATTATTGCAAGAAGAAAGCGATATCTTGGCACTCTTCATTTCCTCAATCTAGGACATAGTAGGGCATGTGTGACCCAAGACTACGTAGTCGTGCTATCTCACCGGACCAATTTTTCTTTATGATTACTAGTAGTTTGCCTATCTGAGTTTCAATTTTTATGGGATTTGTGTATCGTGCGCCATGTGTTGGCTGTTGATGCACTCTTTCTCATTTTGTTCTTGTCTTGTCCAGTTCAAAGCAGTGATGGATACTCTTTTCCAGTCCTTTGACGCCTGCATCTCGGTTAACAACTTTGAGGTATTGTCGTCATCCATCTTTCAGTGGCTCGAGGAGTTCTGCAAACCACAGGTACTATGATATGACCGTTCGATTGTTTGGAAATTTCTGTCGGCCTGTGTTCTCATTGCCGTCACCTGATACCGTTAATAAAATAATGGACTCATTTATCAATAGAATTCAGAAAAAGTGAATGGGGGGGGGGGGGGCACATGTTCTTGGAACGATTGGACTTGTTTAAAAAAAAAAAATAGTATTACAGTCAGACCTCGCATAACCACACGCATCCGTTTTCCACAAAAATATCCGGATAGGCGAGGGAACCGGATAATCGAAAACACATACTGTATGTATGCATGGCGTAGGCTGTAAATCGGTAATCAACGATTTTCTTCCGGATGGCGAGGAGTCCGTATAAAAGAGGGCATAAAAGAGGGCTGGATAAGCGAGGTCTGACTGTACCTCAAAGGCTATCTTTGAACTTCCCTTCCCAAGGGGTTGAATCATTAGTTTATTCTATAATGCGTACATGTATGATAGACGTGGATGTGGTGCCTGCGCTGAATGCACATCAACCAGAGTTCAGAATACATGGGTGCTGTTCTGCTACGAAGTGTGCATGCCTTGGACGAATGAACAAAAAAAGTATTTGTTTTACTAATACCGTAAAATCCCGCCAGAGCGCCCCTACCTCCGCAACCATTCGAGTAGATCCATTTGGGGAGGGACGGATGGGCGAGTCCTACTTGCCGCATTCAGTACTACATGAAAAAGTACTCACTCTACGAAATCTGTGCCTGCGTCTCGTACACCGACCAAAGGTCAAGAGCTGGGAGTCGTACAGACCCATTAAAAAACAAGGTGTTGTGCGATCCCTGGCTAAGAGGGTGGGAACTGTTGCGCACATTTCCAACCAGGTCGAGGACATGTCTGCAGTACAGTACAGCCTTACACACTTCACAGAGTCATATGAGGATACAATCATTATCACTTCCCTGACAAGAAGTCAGGGAGGGGCGCATGAGAGAGACGGGGCGCTCTGGCGGGATTTTACGGTAGTATCACCTGTTGGTAATGCATGTGTACATGTACGCGTGTATGTTTGTACGAGTATTGATGATACTATTTTTTAATTGTACTTGCATCATCAATACGCACACGTTTATGTAGATAATCGTACTATTTTAATAAAAATTCATTTTCCCCATAATTTTTTGTTTCAGAATATGCGCGGAATCGTCATTTCGTCTCTGCAGACATTACAGAAACAGCCGGCAGGTTCCATGTATGGTGGGAGGTCATAGGAGTATGGCAAGATCTCCTTTCTACGCATGCCCAAGTTCACCTTATTGATGTTTTGAGTCCTGCTTCATTTGCTGTCCACTCTGTCTCTCCTTTGTCTGTCTGTCTCTCAGTCTCCCTCTCTTCCCCTCTCTCCTCGTGTATAGTCTTGGAGATACAAACGCCCAGTGTACTTCTAAGTTCATACATATCATGGATAATCGTGCAAATTCTTTGCCTGCCTTTCCCCCAACCTCCTTTTTTGTTTTTTTTGTTTTTTTCTTTTCTCAGGACTGTTTGACTTGCTGGCAAGTACTTAGTCTTTTTTTCTCCGCTCTCTTACAGTATGATTATGCATACGTACAAATCGCCGGCCTTGTGTGTGTGTGTGTCCAAAGGTTATATTCATGTTCTCCTCCTGTGTGTCTCTATAGACTATTGTGATTGCACAGGCACAGTTCTATTCATGTACTTCAGTGCTGTATGTCTCTGTGTGTGTGCGCTCACGCAGGCACAGTTATTTAGCCGGTATATACCTCTGTGTGTCTCTATGTATCGTAGTGTCTTTTATTAGAGCCTATCTCGAATAGAAGCCTGTTTTGAATACAAGCCTGATTTTCAAGATACACTGTTGGCACATTAGCCTGGTTTTAGTGTTGACACACATAGAAATACTTGGTTTGAATAGAAGCCTGATGTGAACAGAAGCCTAGCCTTTACATCGGCTTCTACAGGAATACGCCCGGCTTTAATACGCGACATTATGGGTATACACACACACACACACACACACACACACACACACACACACACACACACACACACACACACACACACACACACACACACACACACACACACACACACACACACACACACTTGCATCATGTACATTGTACTAGCACATGTACATTCCACTTTGTGCACGCGTGTGATTCGGCTGCTGTTCACAAATCCTTGTGTGGCGATTATCCGTTGCATGCATGCATGCGTGTGTTTGATCTCTGATGCTCTCTGCTCTGTGTTGTCTGCCGTGTCGTGCAATAGTCTCCAGTTGTATCCACTGTAGCTATGCACTTTGCCCAATGTGTACATGTGCATATGCGCGTACACGTATTGAATTAACAACCAATTCTCTTTTACATGGTCATGCTTGTAGTCTTACTATTATTCAGTCTGCCCTTTTTTTTGCTCTACCCAGAAATAATAATTTCTTTCTTTCTGCTGAATTGTAAACCCATTCCTAAATCCAATCAATGAATTGCAAGCAGTGACAGTGTAGCTTATGACTTATGTGATTGAGTTCTACATGTATTCAGTGAATACTACGATCAAGAGTCCATAATGTAGAATCTACTCTGATCTTATCTCTTGCTACGATCTGAAAAGACTGAATGCAGTTTTCATGGTTTTCACATGTACGCATCTGCACAGCTAGCTATAGCTAGCTACATGTACAGCTAGCCCGATAGTCTGCTAGCAAAATATCGAAGAATTTTGAAAGGGAATTTGCTGGCAAAATGGAGCAAAATATCGGTGTGTTGGCTGGGAATTGGGAGATTTTACACATACCGGTATACGGTGCACATGACTCATTTCGGCACAGTTTTACCAACACATGACTCACTTTTTCTCATTTTTGCCAACACGTAACCCACTTTCGGTCAGTTTTCTCACACGTGACACAAATTTTGGAGCAAAAATGGAGCAAAATATCGAGTGGCCTGGCAAAATGAAAGCAAAAATATCGACGATGAGGCAGCAACATTTTGCGGCAAAATATCGAACCTTCCCGCGCCTACACATGTACATGTACATAATTATGTACATGTCGATTGTATTTTTTGAAAAAATAATATTATAAAATTAATAATAATTTTTCAATACATGCAACGTTTTACATCAAGAATGAAAATGAACCCTATATACCTATCGCTATTGCTTGATTTGCTTCCCCGCTTTTCATCATTACTGACAGAAGAAGAGTGAGGTTTTTCAGTTTGCTACTACGTCGTTGTAGAATTAGAAACTGCGCCGACATGCCGCGTTTTTCTAAAGCGGCTAGTCAATTTCTGACTGACGTTGCAAAGGGTCTCGAGAAAGGTAAGCTACGCGAAAAAGAAATTGTAGATTTCACCTGAAAATGTCAATATTGTAACAATTTCGTTCTACAAGGTTTATTTAGTGAATATTGATATACCAAGGTGTATGAGTGGCGGATAGATACTGGTACTTTTTGATTGGTAATGGCTGCTATTGGACTATGGCAACTGTTCGAAGTGTATATAAAAAAGAGAGAGTGAAAAGCATGGTGTCACAATGTAGACCCATTTGTTAACATCTTGGTCAACCTTGGCATAATTTTCAGAGTAGTGTTTCCCTGTGCTGGTACATTCTGGTGCATGGATGATGTTGGTTGGCCTGAAAGGTGGCTGCTCTTCGGCACACTTTCAAATTGCTTTGTATCTTATACCTGGCATGGAGTATTGCATTACATGTACTCACTGAGGTCACATTACATGTACTCACTGAGGTCAGCTAAAGATCACCGTGACTATACTAGCAACCAGCCTGGTACTATGACCACTTCGCCAGGCACGGACGGTCTCACTTTCAAAATGCACTGTGACTAGCAACCCCCTGCTCAACTCAACCAGCGACCGCCTTTTCTTGTCCCAAGGTCGATTTTTGACCCGTAACTAGCGACCGCAGTGCAGGAAATCAATGGTTCGGAGCTTCTTCCTTGAAATTTTGTATATTTTCCATGGTCTTGAACGGACTCTTTTGATACTGAGACTGGACAAATGGACATAGCCCTGTCGTAGATTCATTTGGCTGTGAACTGCACTGCATGTTTGAGAGCGCATCGGAAGCACTCTTCGGTCGATGTTACTGCTCGAAGGAGAAACGAAGATTGAGCTGCTCTGTCGAAGTGCAATCACATACCCAGTCACACAGATGACCACTGCAGTGCTAGCATGCTACGGTGCGTTGCAGCATGGCATGGCTACTGTAGCAATGGATGTTGATCAACTATAAGTGATTTCATCAACAAAGTTGAAGCCCAGTGCCAAGCCAAACTTCCACAGGGCCCAGGGAACGCTTGGCTTCTGGCTTCGGGTACTGCACTTGAGAACCTTGATCTAATTCCTGTCTCCCTATTGAAAGACCAGCTAGGCGTGACACAGCGCACGAGTGTGTGTGTGTGTGGGGGGGGGGGGGGGGGGGAGAGATCAACGGAATGTTACGGTACTCACTCAATGGTACTACAGTTCTTGTAGGCTACTATTCGTGTTCGTTTTCGCTTGCTGTACTTCTGCTGTGTATTCAAACTCCAATTTATTGCTGAGGTAACCTGGCCTTCTAGAGACACACCACGGTCATCTATTTCCTCTAAAGGACACATCTGGGTAAATCGGAAACAGGTTATCACTGTTGGAAACGCAGCGTTTAGACTACTCTTTGCAACGGCGTGCCACATCCATGCCGCGAACACCATTGCACGGCATGTGGCGTCATAATGTTGCTTCTCTTCCTTCTCCCCCCCCCCCCCCTCTCTCTCTCTCTCTCTCTCTCTCTCACAGATGGTCATGTACCGTTCAGCTGTGAAGATCTGCCCTCCAAGTTCGAGGGGGCAGTGGCTGTCCTACCGGAGGGCCAACTCAAGGACGAGTTGATAAAGAAGCTGGATGCATGCATCTCTCTTCTCAGGACGTAGGTTAAGCAAAGACCTTAAAAGATACGCTGAGGCTCCTGTGTATGAGTGTGAAGGCTGTTGATGCCAGAAAGTAGTGATGAAAGTAGGAGTGAGAACTGTCCTGTTCATCTCTTGCAATTGTGGGATTAGTTATGGTGTGGCTGGTGTTGAGTGTGATGTCCATCACATGCTATGTGTGATGTCCATCACATGCTATGTGTGATGTCCATCACATGCTATGTGTGATGTCCATCACATGCTATGTGTGAAGGACAGTTGCTATAGCTACTTATGCTCAGACAGTAAAGGGGATAAGTGAAGAGTGGTGATGAATCCTGCCTGAGCATGTGCTCCAGAGTTTGTTTGCAAGTGTCCTCAGGAGAAGAAGTCACTATTCTGTCCCTTGCATATGACAAGGAGGTGGCTGCTTTGTCACATGGCTATAGCTTAGTCTGTTTGCCATGCCATTTGTCACTATCACCCTGTGTGACTTCCAGTAGGTATTAGCAGATATCCGTTGCTGCAAACCTGATCATTCATTGGTGGCCCGGCAGATAGATATAGCACCATTCACGAACTCACACCCTCTTGCACGATCTGTGTTGCACCTGATATTTCTCACTGCACAGAGTGTGTGCCTTTCACACTCCAGCTGCGTGTGTAGTGTGACGCACGCTTGCATTGTCTGGTATAAAACACACTGTACTGTCACAGTGCTGGTCCTCGACCAATTCATTCATTCTCTCTGCTGTGTTGTCAGAACACTGATGTGAAGACAATGTGAGTTACTTCTCTGAGCCTGGCCGTTTGGCACTGGTCCTGCTCAAAAGACAAGACTTCTGCAAATTGTTCATCTTGTGATGTTTGTGTTGTTTGGGTTTTCTTTACAGTGAGTTGAAAGGAAAGTTTTTCTCCATCCCTGTTCCTGAGAAATCGGTAAGGCACAGTGTATCGAATATCCTGATCAACCATGCTGTTGAAGCCATCAATCCCTAAAAAAATGTTATCCCGAATGGCTTTTTACTCTTACGCAAGTTTTTTTGTAGCACCCATATGTTTCTTTGTAAGATTTAGAATCTCCCCATCTATTGTAGGGTCATTGACATTGGTTATTACGGTATGTTTAAATCTGTTACTTTCCCGTCCTTATCGACCCTCCCCCTACTTCAGCTGTTATTTTGTTGATGCCTGGTCTTGGTTTGTTCATGGCATTGAATAGTTGAGAATCATGTCAAGTATGATAATTGAAGTAGACCGTATCCCTCTATATATAGCTACTGTGACATGTTGCTTCACTGTTCTTGCAGAATTGGACACTGCATAGACCTGATGGTATATCACAAGCCCTATCAAATCTAACAGCACACGACCAGTTAGAATGTAAGTGCGGATGTGTGTGTGTGTAGGGGGGGGGGGGGCTTTTTTGGCATCAGTCTTTCATGGTCATGCAGGCATAGTGGGATGGTCTAAGACCATGATTGAGAAACAGAGGGTACCTGCTTCAAGTCAAGTCCTGCTTGGAAGCGGTAAGATTTGTTCCAGCCGTGCTGTTACAGTTAATTGGAACTCATGGATGTGGTGAATGGGGGTTTCGGTCTTTGCCCAAATGCTGGTGGGTCTGATCTACTAGTACTCACCTCCCACCACGTTATAAGCTGCATCTGCGCCTTGATCCTTGAGGGTGATGGTGTTCCTACAGATGCGGAAAACTTGGCCTCTAGCCGAGTCTCACACGAACCGTGAATTTTTCACGGCCGTTTGGCTCACTAATGCCATCATGCGTCACCCGAGATGAAAAGTAAAAGTGCAAAGACCTTGCACGTCATGGCCACGGTAGTCCAAGCAGAACTACAGACAGTGGATCTATGCATGACACTGAACCAGATGAACTGGTACTATATCTACGTGACAAGCACGGAAAAGTAGACGCACTTGATCATACTTGTTCCAGAAAGTGACGCAGTAGAAATAAGCCCATTGCAGCTCAAGCCTTGGGGTTTCACACTCTTGCAGTCTTGGTTATGATAGGGAAGTAGCACACTCATGGTTTACATGTACTCTTGCCTCTTGGTACTTGGAAGTAGTACTGTACAGGTACCTGTGTACAACATGGAGTTGTGCTGCACACTGTAGTGTGTACAATGTACATGTACTGGAAGTAAGTGCAGGATGAACAAGGCATGCTGCATTGGATGTGTGTGTGTGTGTGTGTGTGTGTGTGTGTGTGTGTGTGTGTGTGTGTGTGTGTGTGTGTGTGTGCGCGTGCGTGTGTACTATAGATGCTGCCATACTGGCCACTAGACCAGGGCAAGCGCAAGCTAAACTTGTCTTGGGTGACTTTCTCCAGAAAGCAGTAAGTGATGTTGGGTACCAGGACTACTGCTGTTACTGCTGGTGCTGCTGCTGCTGGTTCTGCTGCTACTGCTGCTGCTGCTGTTGCTACTGCTGGTGCTGCTGTTGCTGCTACTGCTGCTGCTGTTGCTACTGCTACTGCTACTGCTGTTGCTCTCCTCCATGCTGCTCTACCCAACACAGATACTCTACTCATATATTCATGTTTTACAGTAGAGCCTCTCATATCTGAGCAGGCACGTTGAGACTCAAGGGTGAAGCACGTATCTCAGAACTGCCCCTGTCTTCTGTGCGGAATACACCATAACCATAATGGACGCCACACACCACATTCCTCAGTCGGGCTCACTGAACCAAGATTGATGCCAATCATTTGAACCATACCATTGACATGCATTCACAATATGAGCTCACGGTCATGACCTTTTATGAGGTGAAGTAGGGCAGTTAGTTGCCACAAAATGCAAGGTGATTTGCAAATATATTTTACATCAAAGTATTAAAAAAGACCTATTCCACTTCCCCGGTGAATTTTGAAAGGTGTGTCTCATTCTGCCAAGCTTTCGCATGTGTGTGTGTATGTATGTATGTGCGTGCATGCGTGTGTATGTGTGTGTGTGTGTGTGTGTGTGTACGTGGTGTGTGTGTGTGTGTGTACGTGGTGTGTGTGTGTGTGTGTGTGTGTGTGTGTGTGTGTGTGCGTGTGTGTGTGTGTGTGTTTGCTGGCTGGCTGGCTGGCTGGCT